AGCGAAGAGTAAGAAATACCGTTAAGAAGCCGGTAGAGAAAGATAAGGTTTAATTTGATACGTCTGATCCAGAGAGGTTCTAGTTTGAGTTGTTGACATCTTCGGTGATAGTCTTTGTTGTCAGAATACCCCAAAACAGCTTTAGTGAACCTTCTTTGAACACCTCCAATTTTAATCAGGTCATTATGCCTGCAATTACTGTAAACTAAAATACCATATTCAAGAATTGGTAAAATACATTTTCTGTATAATAATAATCACGATTCGGTATTATTGAAATTAATCATTATGAATCCGATTGGCTTTCTAGCTTTGGATACTTGAGATGCAATGTGTTCAGAAAAGTTCAAACTTTCGTTATATCTTAAACCCAAGTCACGAACAGTGTTGAGGGGTTTCAGTGTATGTTTGTATATAGCCAGATTTAAGTTAAGGCAACGGCCAATGTTAATAAATCCACTTTTGTCAACATTAAGTGGCAAATTCCACGAAATAGTCCATTCGTACAACTTGTTTATTTCTTCTTGGATTACCGTTGAAATATAGCTTTCTTTTGTGGGAGATGAGAATGAATAAGCCACTTTTAGATCATCGGCAAAAAGAAAAGGTTTACCATATTGAAAGAGGGAACAAACGTCATTGATAAAAAGGAGAAATAATAATGGACCAATTACACTTCCTTGTATAACCCCACTGGTTACATTCACAGGTTTGGAGTAGAAAGATCCAAAGCGGACAATTTGGCTACGTTCTTCTAAAAATGACTTGAGCCAAGATAAAAGGGGAATCTGTATTCCATATGAAGAGATTTTTAGAAGAAGAAGCTTGTGTGGGACGCTGTCGAAGGCCTTACTAAAGTCGACGTACAGAACTATCACAGACTGCCCAACATCTCTTCTCTGGGTAATTTGATCAAAAAATTCCAGGTGTGATGTGAAGCATGAACGTTTGGTCATAAACCCTTGTGTGGGATGGGCTGATCAGATTAGCCAAAAGCAAAAATGATAATAGCTGTTTGTGGATGATTTTTTCCATTGTTCTTGACAGCAAGGATGTCAAATTGATTGATCTGTAGTTAACAATATCACTGTGTGATCCGGTTTTGAATCTGGGGGTGATAAGAGATGTTTTCCATGTAGATGGATAGGTCCCATATTCCATAGATAGGTTGAAAAGTTTTAAACAAAATATTGGGAATTCTCTACTACCATATTTCACAAATGATGAGGGAATACCGTCAGGTCCATTGTCATAGGTTTTTTTCAAGGCAGTTTTGGCCTGCTTGATGTTGGAGGGTACAAAATCAATTTTCGACAGGTGTCTGCACGTCAGTATTGGAAATGTATTGATACAGCTTTCAGTTCTAGGGTTATAGCAATGCGAGAAATACTGACTGAATTCTTCGCAAATAATATCGGGGTCATCAATAATTCTTCCGTTAACTATGAAGAATTTGGTCACACCAAGAGAATTTGACTTCACACGCGATTTAAAAAGCCGAAGTATTGATAATTCTGGGTTCTTATTACCTAGGGCTTCGTTTTCTATATTCATAAAATACTTGCGTTTAGATGAAGCACTCTTGTCAATTAACTTAAGTATACTCTGTAGTGTATACAAGTCATTATGCTTGTGGTAACGGTGTTTTAATTTTCTCAGCTTTCTTTTAAAAGTTTTAAAATTATTATGGCCCCTATTGGCGTTATAAGCTACATGGCTAATAATTGGAGCAGTGCAGTCGAGGCAGTGTATCAAGTTGTGGTATGGATCAGAGATCGCAATGTCAATATTATTTGTGGTAAAATAAGTTTCCCATGGCAAACAACGAATAAGACTTTCAGTCCGTTTCCAGGTTTGTTGATCAAAATGTTTACTCTTGTACATCATTCCAGCTTTAGAATTCAATTGTATGGCGTCGAAAGAATGAATGATACACAATATTACTCTGTGATCACTCTTAAAAATTCCTGACCAATATGCACTGAGATAGAATCTATGTTGATTGTAAATAGTAAATCAAGCATATTATTCCTTCTAGTCGGTTGTCGAACCTGTTCGACCAATCCATAAAGTTCTAGCGTTTCAACTAATTTGTCATGTCGGTCTGAAACCGGAGTCGAATCCCATGTGATGTTTGGCAGATTAAAATCACCTCCGATGATTTTAAAAGTATGCGGTTGGTGTGAAGCAATGGAAAAGATATTTGTTAGTAATCTGTCAAACCTAGAGTCTGCATGTGGTGGTCAGTATATGCATCCCACCAGTGGATAATTCCCAGATCCACAGTTTACAGTAACCCAGGTGGAGTCGTCTATAGCATCAAGGGATTTATCCTCAAATTTGCAGGCCTGAATATCCGAACGGACATAGATAAGTGTACCGCCCCCTAATCCATTACATCTATCGGTTCTAAAGAAAACATAGTTATCTATATGCAGGGAGTGATCGGATATAGATGAATTACACCACGTTTCCGTAATAAGTACAATAATTGGATTTACAAGCAATAAAAGGGTTTTGAGGTGAGTAATTTTATTGGGCAGAGAGCGGGCATTGAACGAAAGAATAAAAAATTGAGAATTACTATGGTGCATCAGGTTAGAGTATAAATCACAATTGGTATTTGCATGAATACTCGTAGGATTGGCTAAGGTGAGAGTTATGTTGCGATCGGAAATAGATTCAATAACTTTGTCATCATTTGAAGTATGTGTATTGTTGCCGACAGAAAAGCCGGCGTAAGTACAGAAAGAGTCTTCTCATTATTATTGGATATAACATTTGGTAAAGCAATAGTATTAACATTGGGAGCCGGACCAAGAAGGCTATCAGGTCTATGTGTGCGACCAAGTGGCCGTTTACAATTTAGATTGCTATTTATACCTGACGTATAGAGAACATGTTCTAAACGCTTATTTCCAAGGTTTGTGGTTGATTTTGGCTTCTTCGTAATTTGGGGGGGGTCGTGTATTGTTAAAGATGCTTGAGATGGTTTGCAAGGTTCTAGTATATCGACGTTAAGCGTATGGTCAGGCAGATAATTTTTTGAACAGCTTTCCCGTTATCCGATTCACAGTCACTGTAACTGGTTGTTGCACTAACAGCGACTTGGACTGTGTTATTCCATTCGAAATCAGTACAACTACTTAGGGTTGAATCTAAGTCAACATTCTTAAAAAGATGGGCATCACCTACATTGGGACTACTTTCTTTTGGACTTTGAACCTTAGGAGATTCAGGAGAGTTTTCCGGTGGTTGCATATTCGTAAAGTTAGATGTACGCTTAGGATCGGATTTAATTTTATGACCTTTAGGATTATGATACGCTTTTGTGTTTGATGCTGGTAGTCTGTGGTTATCTCGGCCTGCTTTTCGTTGGCATGGTGTTCTATCTGGTAGAATCTTAATATCTTTGAAAATCTGTTTCAGTGAATTGGAGGAATTTAAAAATTCACTAGCGTCTACAGATGAGTTGAATTTGAACAAGATCGGTGGGTGCATATCAGGGTGACTTCTTTTTAATCTTGAGCATACACGTGGTACGTGTGTCATACTGCTGGCTCTAAGCAGACTAGTTTTGATATTTTTAAGGGCATATGAGTCCGGTATATTAAACACAACTGCATTGCTAGATCACCTTATTCTTTCAAATACCTCTGATGCAACACGATCTAAGAATTTATTTATGTCATTCATTTGATCTGGAGTCTCTGTGAGGTTAGGGTTGATGAGATACTTGAGGGGATTGAGAATGTTCATGTCAACTTGTAGCCTTTTTATATCATTCGTAGACAACTGGTAAAAGCTTGTCTGCTTCCGGATGAACGGAGTAGATCGTCTCATTGAAACTGTCAGTAGCAATTTTAGATTGCGTAGTTTTCCTACGTTTGGCTGGACGCCTACAAGCAGGGGCCTTTATTTTCTTTTGTTGCATGATAAAAAAGTGACGTATAGCAGATGGATTGAACAAAATATTGGAAATAGAGATGAAAGAAAAAAATCAATGCCGAGGATTAAAGTCTAGTAATCAAAACCTATGCTTAACACAAGGGTGGATGTATCGTGAGGATCGGTGAAAGTGTAGAAAAACAATGGATAAGAGTAGCAGGAAGATATTAGTGGTGACAAAATATACTGTCATAAAAAAATAAATAAATAAATAAACCTATGACAGACTCACCGATTTGGACAGGTGATTCCGGAAATTAAGTGAGTTATAGTATCCAAATACGATTTTAATGAAAGTATATGGAATAGTGAGTACAGTGCTTTGTCATACACGATTACATATCTCTAGATATTAGGTAGAGATCCGAATAGATCTAATCTTATGGATGCTGACCAACTAAGGCCGATGAAAAGAAGCTCATATTGTCTAAGTCGGCTTGGAGATTAAAATGAACCGCCTCTTTTCTTATTGTTCTCCAGATTTGGACATCGTCTGCAAACAATATTGCCGGCGACTTAAGCAATAGCGGTAATTGATTAACATAGAGAAGGAAAAATAGAGGGCCTGATATGGTGCTTTGGGGAACATCACTTTTGACCGGCTTCCATTCGGATAGCGTTCTATTGACCCTCACTCTCTGTATGTGGTCATATAAGAAGCTTCCTATCCATTCCTATAAAGCACTTGTTATTCCAAAGTTCGAGAGCTTCGGCATAAGACCTAAGTGTGAAATCTTGTCAAATGCTTTGCTAAAATCTATGAATATCACATCAACAGACAGGCCGTTATCTAGGTCTGCAGTCCAATCCTCTTCCGCAATAAGTATGTCAGTCAGGCATCAACGCTTGTTACGAAACTTATGTTGCTCGGGAGTTAAAAGATTATACGAATATATGTGACTTGGTAACTTAACCCAAATGAATGAAACTTCTGGCTAAAATACTTGACGTCAATGAATGGTTTTGAGAAGCAGCGAAGTTTACTATTACGCACTTATTGCAAGCGTTAATTTGGGACTTCCCTGATGGCTAGCGTCTGATTTGTTAAAGTCACTTTTAAGGGCGGGGTATACGGTCCTGGCGGGTTTTTGTTGTCTATGCCGATGGCCTATTCTCCTGGGGACAAAATATTCGCTAAAGTTAAGGGTCATCCTCACTGGCCATCTCGAGTAAGAAACAAGCTTTGTTTCTCATTCGCTAGATTAACCTTCTTCCGGAGGATGTTCCAATTCCAAAGGGGAAATATCCAATTTTCTTTTATGGGACTCACGAAGTGTATGTTTGCTGCATATTATATATTTTTTAACAATAATTTTCAGTTATTTCTTAGCTCCTAAAGATATATTTCCCTATGAAAAGTTCAAACATAAGTACGGGGTGCCTCGTAACAAGGCTGTTTTCCAGGCTGGGTTACGAGAGATCGAAGAAAATCCAGATGTCTTACTCTATAAAAAGGTGAGCTAAGTGTCAAAGCAACAGTGTGTTTCTACGCATCAGTACAAACTTGTCCCTGGATACCTCTCTGCTGTGCTATCCTACATGTTTGTGACAATGGTTACGTCAGGTGTCCTGGCAGCTGTTATTTTCGTTCTCGCTAGGCTGTTTGCTATTTTGTATAGATCTGACGGTTTACTGTGCTAAAACAATTGCAATGGTGCAATAATAATAAGCATAGGCTGCGGATACTATATTCGTAGGCTCCTGCCGAAACTGCTGGCATGAGTAAGATAACACGTTTAGAACAAATTTACTGTCAACTGACTATAGACTTTTCCATCGAATTGTCAACGAACGAAATTCGTTACCTCATCACGTAATTGAAGCCCCATCTGTTAATGCATTCGAGACGAAGTTGGATCAACTGAGAGACTGCCATCGCCAGTATTAACACAGGCCTCCCGGTCTAATGTCTTTTCCAAACCAAAAGTGAAAGTAAACGACCAGCAGTCAATGGGTAAAACTTACAATCTTACAAAAGAATCTTAGTAAGCATTTCACACGTCTAGTGTCAGAATACGCCAAATTGGTTGCCAGCTAAATGGATATTTCGGTGCCTAACCACCAAGTTGATTAGACATGAACGAATCTGTTTGATCTTGCGAGTATAAAGACACTGTTGTCCGGGTAAATACTGACCACACTGTGAACTAAATTAATAGAGTTCTACCAACAGCCACCAAAACTTACATAGTGAGTTAAGCACCCAGGTATGGTCGTCATACATTTCGGTCTTACTTCCAGAATAATGAAGTAAAACCGACGATTTCAGTATCTCTTTTATGATTTCTACCCAACTGACAAATATTTGTTGCTGCGTCCATATAACTTTTTCATGTTAAGTTATCACTTACTACCACACGATTCCCTTTACTGGGTTTCTAAAAATGATATAATCGAACTTTATCAAATACGACCTAGGATAGGAACCGGTTTATATCTTCCTGTTGTTTTCTCTTCTTCTTTTAGTAAATATTCATGTGTGTTTAAAATGACCAAAATGAGTTTTCATTTTATCACTATCTTATAGTTCTTTTTTTCGTTTATATAACGATCTCTTATTTTACGCATTTTTCTCCATGTGGTGCCTTTATTCCTTACAAAGCACCTTTATTTAACTAAATAAAAACATGAAGCTATGCTCTGACAATAGCTTGTTTTTAGGTGACACTGTAGTAAGAAAACATCTGCGTTCATTATTTTAGGTTTTTATGTATCACAGCTGGACAAAATAAAACGTTCAGAAAACATTGTAGGCAAATCAATAGAGTGCGTTCACATTCAAAATATAGTTCAACTAACTACATTCGGAGTGAAGCAGACGATTTGGGTTAAATGTAGTAGACGCAGGAGTCCGTATTTTGAAAGTGTGTAAAATTTAAGGCTATTACTAACAAGCAGGCTTATCTGCTCATGTCACGTCCGGAAATATCTGTAACCCTAGATATTTCTCCAAGTCTTTATTTTCGTAGCATTTTTTTATTTCATAACCGACGTACCCATCTCTAAACCTTGGTAGGATCCAGAAGCGGAAACATTTTTGGCTCAGTTTTACTCATTTAAACGTGGATGTAAAGATGCTGGTCAAAATTCCGTTCTGGTTTCCCCTACAACGGAAATACAATGTCAAAAGCGATCAAAGTCAACCTCGGCTGAAAGTAAGTCCTGATATTTTTATTAACTTATGGTTTTCACCTACCACTTCAAACTTTGCGTTAAGTAGAACAGATTATAATTAAGCATTAGGTCATCGACGTAGGGATTGGCTCGAAAATGTCTGTTTGAAGACATAATCATAGTGAAAAGATTAACAAGATGAGAAACAAAATAGGGAAAATATCAACTTCAGTGAAAAGCTTAGCACAAAAAATATCTTTCAGAAGGAACTTATAAGGTCGGAGAATGAAACAAGAAACGAGTTATCAAGATTTACGTGAAGATAAAGTTTGAATACAACTGCACCAATGCTTTTGATTTCGAGTTATGCCATTCAAAGTCTCTGACGATGTTCACACCACACTGCTCATATCAATCAGTCCATTCACTTTATGGATTGATGCCATGTTTTAATCTTCCTATCTCTAAATTTTCCGTAACCTTTATCCGAACAACTACTGGACAATGGAGAATATGATAACCAAGGATGCATAACACATACTTGAGTCAATGAATGTTTATAATATGCATAAATCCTTTTACCACTTCTACTTACAATCAAACACCGGACTTCAAACACAGGGTCAAATGCTAGAAACCTAAAGATTTTCATGTTTTGTAGTCGCAAAGAAGCTGAAAGGGAAATATTGCGCCATCCACACTGACATTAGGATGGACATATCACCTACTCCACAGATGATACAAGTTGTTGAAAGCAGAATGAGTATTTTGTGGAGATTTTGTCAGAACGATTAATGCTAATCTGGGCCGTCGTTAACTTAGTTTAGCTTTAAAAGGTTGGGTTTGTAGACGTCATTGGCAGTAGTTTTGCCATATACCTGTTGGATATGTGTTACGAATGTTATCCTAGCAACTTCCACATCGTGGACTATTTACCGACTCGGACTGGGTGGAAAAAGTGGATGTGGTCAGTTAATGACATTCCACTATGGTATGGAGGAAGGTTGCTTAGGACTTGCCTCTGTGGATTTATCACATGATATGGATCCTAATCAAAATGCAGCTCACTTTGTCATTGTCATTATCAGACGACGATGATGATTTTGCCGTAGTTTTCTCTTATACTCCGCATGAATGTGAGGTGTTCCCCTAAGACGTCTTCTCAGTCTGTATTTTAGACTGAAATGTGTCCTCCTTTGCTTGTTCTTTATTTATTTAATGTACTTTCCCTCTCTTTACCTTCACATTCCTTTATTTGTATGGTATTTATTTATTTGAACACAAACATTGGTACACAGAAACACCACATATTGATGCGCCACACTTCGTCATTCGATTTGTGTAAGGCCTGGAATACTGCCCGGACGCCCAGACCGAATCAGGTGATTTTCTTAAGGACACTCCCCAAAAGATGACCTAGAGGTCTAATCCAAAAGTCAATTAAGCGACTTTAGGAGATGCAGTCCCATGGTAGCCGATGACCTACAGTAATTCTCTTGCTATTTGTTCCTTCAGGATCTTGGAGCCCATGTGCACCATTCGTTTAGAGTCAGGGTTTTCCAACTCCCTTAGGTAAATCCTCCATATCTATCAACTCTAAAAATCGCCGGAAATTCGCTTTTCGTCCTCTCAGTTTTGTAAACAAAACCCCCACCGCGAGAAAGCAGTGAGTTGGACTTCCCTGTCAGTGGTTTTATACGCCTGGCCATGTGAGAGCATTTAGAGAGAGAGTGAACTTTCCCAACCCTCGGTCGTACCAGCGCATTCGGAAGAATTTGTTTGGTACAAAATTATTTCATTTCCTAGTTTTACTGGGGTCTGTGTTGAATAAAACAAACGATCCATCGGGACTTTCAGGTTAGTTTTGGCGGCTGTCGCTCTTTCCCCTTAAACTACAATCGATGCATATAAATCACGAAGCGCACAGGCTATGTAGAAGACTTCGTTCTGTAGGCATGTATTTAGGCAGGAAATAAATCCCTGAACATTTGAATGATCCTGTTATCTTTATAATTATATCTACAACAGAATTAAAAAGTTACTCTCAATGTTACATAGATAATTTATCTGACACCGACTTTATCATCCATTCAAATTATTACCCATCACTAATTATTTGTTTGTCTTTTGGTGACAAAGCGTCACACATATCGATCAACAAAACAAAATACAGCTTTCATGTCAGGAGATACGACTACCGTCATGAGTGGGTATGTAACACCGTACTTTTATTGGGTATGCGTTTCAAGTCTTAAAGGTTCGAAACTTGTTCTATACACCCATTATCAGGTCTGAAACTACTTGGACCTTTCTTGGTTCGACGTTCATGTATATCTAGACAGGCGTCAGGTTGTTATAGGGGTTAGTATCATATTAAGGCAATCACTTAAAGCTCTATTGTAAATTATTGTCAAAGAGCGATTCCGGTTGATTAAAAGAGGGATGTTTTCATTTTAGGAGTTTATCAGCTACTTGCAAGGTAAAACGATTGTAATAATAAGTGCTGTCTTGGGGCCGCTGACTGATATCACGCGCCAAGTCACCAATCGGAATCACAACTCTAATTTAGTCTATTTCGCGTTTGCCATTTTATTGACAGTCTTACTTATGCCTGTTGCTCCTCGTAGAGCAGCACGAGCCGCCCACCATCATTCTCCATCCAACTATCCTGAACAATCCACCAGTTGTTCTCAGTTACTGTTCATCCTTTTCATTTCTACTTCCAATTCCTGACGCAATATGTTCCTTGGTCTTCCTCTCCTCATTTTCCCTTCGGGATCCCAAGTTGGGGTTTGTCTCGTAATGCTTTTTGATGATTTCCGTAATGTATATCCTATCTACCTCCACCGTGTTTTCTTAATTTCTTCCTCAGCCGGAAGCTGTTTCTGATGGTGTCTGGCCAACGGACATTCAATATCTTGTGTAGACATTCATTTATAAATACTTTTACGTGTTCGATGATGATTGTAGTAGTTCTCCAAGTTTCAGCTCCGTACAGTAGGACTGTCTTGACGTTCGTATTGAAGATCCTGACTTTGATGTTGGCTTGGAGACAGTTGTTTTGAATCCCATATGTTCTTCGATTGTAAAAATGCTTTTCTTGTTTTGCCAATCCTTGCCTTACGTTTGCATCAGATCATCACTGTTCATCGACGATGCTGACCAGGTACTTGAAATTTTTCACATCTCCAAGAGCTTCTCCATCAAGTGTGATTGAGTTAGTGTTCTCCGTGTTGTATTTGAGGATCTTACTTTTTCCCTTGTGTATGTTGAGGCGTACTGATGCAGAGGCTGGTGCTTCACTAGTTGTCGTGACCTGCATTTGTTCGTGTTTATGGGATAGAAGAGTTAAGTCAGCATCCTGCCCGCCTGTTCCCCTGCTCCTGAATCTCAGTGATTGGCTTGTCTTCGTCTTTGACTGACCGCTCCGGTTAGCTATATATCCCTGCTAGTTTTCTCGCTGTATTATATAGTTGTCTCATATTTCCGTGCAAATTTTTCCACTGTTATCGCTAGTTTTTCTACGTATTTCTGCCTGTCAGCCTGTTCTTCGATTTTCTCTTGTTTGGCTGTTGTTATTTGTCGTTTCCTTGTTCTTCTCTTGTTGAATTTTGCCAAGGTTTTCGATGGAGACCCATTCATTATGAAGATGCTTCTTGAGACCCAGAACCTCCTGACACGTTGATGTTAATGCTTCTTTGATCCCTTTCCAGTTGTCTTCCATCGTAGTTTCTTCTTTCAGTAGATCGTGTAAGGCTTGGGACCTGTTGTTGAGGGTTATCTTGAAGTCGTTGAGTTTGTTAGTGTGTCGAAGGAAGGCTTTATTGAGTCCTTGCAATGCTGTCCGTCCAATCGTCCTGTGCTTCTTTAAATTCATTTTCACCTTGGCCACAACCAGGTGGTGATGTAAAGCTATGTCAGCTCCTCTCTTGGTTCTCACGTCTTTCAGTGACCTTGTGAATTTTTGATTGGTGTAAATATAATCTTTCTGGCTTCCCGCGGTGTGATCCGGTGAGATTCATGTAGCTTTGTGCACGAGTTGGTGTGAGAATATTGTGCCGCCTTTAACCAATTTTTTGAATGCACATAGATTTGCGAATCCTTCTCCACTTTCGTTTATTCTTCCCAGTCCGTGTCGTCCTATGATATATTGATACCCGGTGTTGTCCATTCCGACTTCGGCGCTTGGGTTTCGTATGAAGATGTTCAGGTCGTTTCCTGAGCACTTCGCTATGATCATTTACAGCCTCGTAAAATTGATCTTTATCGTCGTCATAGCTACTATTGGTGGGTGGACAACATTCATGATAATTCCCTCGTTCTTTATTTTGAAGGCTGTCTTGATGATCCTGGATCCATAAGATTCTCATCCCGTGTGTTTTCCAGGCTTCTCTGGAGAATATCAGTGCAACTTTTTGTGTATGCGCGTGTGTGGAGCATTTTCTTCTTCATGACCAGAATACAACAGCATCTGTCCCGAATCTAATCTTTTCTGTTTACCTTGGATTTAGTGGGTTCCACTTATTCCGAGAACCGTCAAGTTGTATCGCCTCATTTCTGTGGCTATTTGACTGATCCTCTCAGTCTCTCACATTGTCCAGACATTCCATGCACTTATGGTTGTTAGAAGGGAAATCGGTCTTGCGACTTCCGAAGAATCTTGGCTTTCATTATGAGGCATAATAATTCTTCTGAATGAAGATCCTTCAACTCGGAAGACAGAGTTTAAATGGTTTGATTTGTTTAATCTGGTTGGCGTTTTTTAGCAAGATTGTTTTCTACGGGATGGCGTTGCCGACGACATGTCCAACCCTCCTCATTTACCCAGGCTCGGGACCGACTGTAACCCTGGTAAGGCTACCGGCAGAGTTATCGACAGCCTTATGTCTCGAAATTGACGAGTTCACACCCATCGAGCACCGTTGACCGGGAATCGACGTCTATTTTCTTACATGTCCCTTATTCACATACTTATCTCTATGCCTTACCTTTAGTACAGAAGTAGCAATCAGCCTCTCGTTTTCACGCCAAATGCCACCAGATTGTATTTCTCATTTGGAAGGACCCCAATTGTCATTAGTTGGTTGCCTTTTGATATACTATGTTTTGACATTTCCCGAGGACATTTTTCTGCCGTATATATGCGGCTGAGCTGTGTGCTTGTTGTTGTTCGTGCTTCTGGTTTCTTCTGGAATATACTTACTCTCCGAACCTGGACTTCTTTCTCCAGTTAGTAGGGTTGGGACTCATCAGAATAGTCAGATTATTTAGTAATTGTGTCTCTGAGTCTTCGTTCCGTTCGCAGATGAGGTGAACTCGTAATCTCTTCAAAAATAGCAATTTCGCGATGAGGCTGGTGCGAACATGGATCCTTCAAAATGAAATTATTGTTGGAACAGCAACTGAAACTTATCCGCATGTTAGCAGAAACGAAAATGACGCCTATCACACAACCGAGCACATCTAATTTTACTACTGCACCGTCAGTCGACGGCATCGCAAGCAGTATCGCTGAATTTCATTACGATTCCGATGCCAATGTTACTTTTGATGTGTGGTTCTGGCGCTATAAGAAATTATTTACATTTGTCCTTATAAACAACATTGTTGCAGAAAGTCTAAATCCGTTAGTCACAAAGATTTTGTTAAAAAAGGAAACCGAACCGGTCCAGTAGTAATAAAAAGCCTGTTTCCGTATTCTGAACAACCGGGAGCTTAAGGTAAATGGAACATATATACACAGTAATCTAGTTACTCAGTAACTGTACAATGAAAGTATTATTAATAATAATTCGTAAAGTCGTTCTGTTATAAAAAGAGCGTTATGTACCCAAATTTTAACGACATCGACTTATCAACTCAATAGCGGTTAGTGTACGAAGATTGCTTATGCTACGCCAATCATTGGCGATGCTGTTGTCTACCGCTAATTAGTGACAATATTAGCTTTGACAGAAATCCAGCAACTAATTTCACCCTACTGACTTCCCAGGCGCTCTAATTTTTCACATATTATTTTGCTATACAAATACCTTATTGGTTTGTATGAACTCGTTATGATTCGTCATTGATATAAAGTCATTTAGTTTTTTATAGCATTGCTGAGGTTTCTCTGAGTTTCATCAAATTCAAACATTTCCCTTTCGTTTACGAAATATTTTACTCATACAAAACTTTCAATTTCACTTTTTATGATACAACCATGGGCCTTTTTAATTGTTGCGTTTTAGCGGAACATGGAAGACCAGCCAAACGACCACATACAGAATCTCGCAAAAGCAGTGGTTCAGTTAACCATCAATCCTATAGTGCACAAAGGGATAGAAGAAGTAGTGCAATGTAAGGACTTTTTGTTTATTTTTGCAAATTTTACAAAAGAAATTAAGTTGGTTTTGTATTTTCAAGTGCATTGTTCTTTTATTCCAGAAAATGTGTGAAAAAATCGCCAAATACAACTAATAGCCCTTTAAAATCATCCATTTCGTCTGCTGATGTAGTCGAGTCAGATGGTTTTGTTCCTGTAGACTCTCAACGTGTTTCAGCTCTTCGTCTACGTATTCGTAAACATTCCTCTGTTTTTATGTCCCCTGATTCCGTTTCTCCATCCTCCCCATCTACAACTGGGTCAACTGCTACATTAGAAGCACGTCACGTAAGTAGTGAAAGCAGTCCTCCAGTCTCAGTATTTTTATTATTCATTCTATGTAGTCTTTTTTCTCACTGTATGTCCTGGACACTATCAGTCCTACCGATATCTATTTCACACTTCTGAAGTAAACTGTCACAAGTTCTGTTCTCGATTGTACATGGTGAGGGTTAAGTTCATCGTAACTTTCTTCCTCAAGTTCAGATTTAGCAGTACATACATGAGACAACTACTAAGTTATCTATAGATAGTGAGAAAAATTAGTTCAACGGGACATAAGGCTTAATACTAATAACCTAATTTACTGTTTAGAATGTTACTTATGGCTGTCATGCGCATATAATCATAAAGACAGTGTAGATATTTTATTACCAGTATTTTTCTTGGATGCCTTTGTCACACTGATAAGCTGTCATAACAAAGATCTCATTTAGACTGTTTTCCACGATCACATTACCTCAACGTGGTTACATTAAGTGAGTGGAAGCTTCAGTCTAATCAGATCACCTTTTCTCAACCGATTTAAACCGATGAACATTTGTGACAAGTCCTACGTTGATTATAATGACTGATCTTGAGTGCTGTTAGAAGTATGGCTGTGGTTATCACTTCCCGGTTACCCACACCGTGGAAGAGTTCTTCTAGAGGTACCTGAAGAGGGAATCGGATTGGAATCGGTCTTAGTGACCTGAGAGCGTACCGCAGTGCCCAAGGGACAACTGCTTGAAGTCGGTCACACATGACCTTTTTGTAAGTAATTTTCGTGTTAGTTCCGTACTTGTTGGGACCTTACCGCCGGGGACGGATATTCGTGGGATAACGCGAGGTGTGTAATTTCAGGGTCGACCTTTTCTAACCCGACCGTTGCTGCTACCTTGACGTGGTGGTCGGGCTTGCCTATCGTGATGAAGCAATCGAGCTATGCTGGTTGGAACAATCGTTCCTCGAGGTCCTACCATGCCAGACAGGTCGGTTGAAGAGCGGTGAGACTAAAAGCAGCAAACCCAAGGTCCGAAGGCGAAGTCGTACTGCTGACTGTACAGAGGTGTGACGGCAGTAAGGTGTTTCCTTCAGACAACCAGCATGACAGCGATGCTGCCTTCCCACAAGGAGGGGTGGGGTTAGAAAAGGTCGGCCCTAAAAATGCACACCTCGCCTTATCCCACGGATATCCGTCTCCGGCGGTAAGGTTTTTTTTTGAAGAACGGAGCTAACACAAAAACTACCCACAAAAAGGTCGTGTGTGACCGACCTCAAGCAGTTGTCCCTTGGGCACTGCGGTCACGCTCTCAGGTCATTAAGACCACTTCTAACCCAATTTCCTTTTCAGGTACCCCCAGGAGAACCCTTCCACGGTGTGGGCAACCGGGAAGTGATAACTGCCCTCATACCTCTAACAGCACTCAAGACCACCGTATTCATAATCAATCTCCTTCAATTCCTACTATTCCTTCTACCTTGACTTTCAACACTAAACTTACTGTTCCGGTTTCCTCCTCAAGTGTCGCCATGGCCAACGATTCTAGTGCGCGGAACACTGTCCCAGGTCTACTTAAACCTCGCTCCAAACTACACATTGGAGCCTTCAACGTACGTACCCTAGGTCAAATCGGTCAACAGGCCTCCTTAGCTAAAACCCTAGAATCTCGTACCATTGATGTATGCTGTGTCTCCGAAACACGCATACAGGATCCCAGTGTGGTCATTCACTTGACCTCACCTCGCCAAAATGGACAGCCAACGAAATACACCCTCCGTGTATCTGGCGATCCGTTGGCTAGTTCTCGTGGACTTGCAGGCTCTGAACATGACGAAGAGCGTAAAGAAATTAGATCTAGGTTAACTAAAAGTCTAAGGAACGATCGTGAGCAGTGGTGGGCAACGAAAGCAAAAGAGATGGAAAAGGCAGCGGCTGTAGGGAACACCAGGCAACTATTCAGACTAATAAAAGAAACCGGAATTAAGAAGTCAAGTGTAAGTGAGACAATCTCGGAAAAAGACGGAACCCTTATCTGCTCTCAACCCAAACGTTTAGAACGATGGGCGGAACACTTTAAGGAGCAGTTTAGCTGACCTTCAGCTACTGCACAACTACCCACTATTCCTAGAAAACCTGAATGGAACATTGAAGTAGACCCCCCGACCCTACTTGAAGTTCAAAAGGCTATAGGTAATCTGAAACGAGGAAGAGCAGCTGGTCCTGATGGATTGGCTCCAGAGGTCTTTAAATATGGTGGTCCGATTTTAGCGAATAGGTTGACTAATATTCTGGCTAAAATCTGGGAGACGGATGTAATCCCACCCGACTGGTCACAATCACTGATTGTCCCAATATATAAAAAGGGGTCAAAATCATCCTGCGATAACCATGGAGGGATAAGTATGACCAACATAGCATCTAAAATACTAGCCTCAATAATTATCGGGCGCCTAACTAAGACTCGTGAACTGCAAACACGAGAAAATCAGGCTGTCTTCAGACCTGATCGTGGCTGTATCGACCACATATTCACCATTCGTCAAGTTTTAGAGCACAGACACGCTTATCGGCGTCCGACAATGATAGTTTTTCTTGACTTGAAAGCAGCATTTGACTCTGTAGACCGAGAGGTTCTGTGGCAGTGTCTGTCATTGAAAGGTGTACCTGAGAAGTACATAAACCTTGTGAAGACTCTTTACTCGAACACTACCAGTCGAGTGAGAGCTTATGGCGAACTGTCATATGATTTTACAACCTCAAGTGGTGTCCGTCAAGGCTGTCCACTATCCCCACTTTTGTTTAACTTCATTATAGACCTGTTGCTGGAAATAACACTCTCTTCGACTGAATTTACAGGAATTGATCTCCTACCAGGGGGACCACTAAGCGACTTAGAATACGCAGATGATATACTCCTGTTTGGTGAAGACGCTGGCAAAATGCAGAGTCTTCTGTTGGAACTGAGTAATAATGCCAGGATGTTTGGGATGCGATTCTCCCCATCCAAATGTAAATTGTTACTCCAGGACTGGCCTGCATCAACACTCGAACTAAGGATAGGGAGTGAAGTAGTCGAACGCGTGGACAACTTCACTTATCTTGGAAGTCTGATCAGCCCTAATGGGTTGGTGTCTGACGAAATCCCAGCACGGATTCAAAAAGCTTGTTTGGCTTTTGCCAACTTACGTCACCTATGGCAAAGACGAGATATCCGTCTGTCAATTAAGGGACGAGTATACTGCGCAGCAGTTCGCTCTGTCCTACTTTACGGCTGTGAAACATGGCCATTAAGAGTTGAAGATACTCGTAGGTTACTAGTATTTGACTACAGATGCCTTAGAAATATTGCTCGCATCTGCTGGGATAACCGGGTAAGTAATAGTGAGGTTAGACGCAGGGTATTAGGGAACGATGGTAAATCAGTTGATGAGGTGATGAATCTTCATCGACTGAGATGGTTGGGCCATGTGTTACGTATGCCTGAACACCGATTACCATGACGCGCTATGATGACTAGTGTAGGGGATTGTTGGAAGAGAGTTAGGGGCGGCCAAACCAAAACATGGCATCAGTGTTTGAAGTCACTAACTTCTAGTCTGAGCCATGTTGGCAGATGCAGACTACCTGGTTGGGGTCCGCGTGACTATCGTAACCAGTGGTTGGAGACTCTAGGTGACATGGCTGAGAATCGATCACAATGGCGTAGGTGTATACACTCTTTATCTTCCTTTAAACCTTGAGACTAAAATTGCTTCATATCTCTCTTCCTTCCTGTACTATATCCTTATATACAACCTATAATTTATATACTACTACCACCAGTAAATTAATTACTTCTATGAATCCGGTGTTCATCTTGTTGTGCTAAGGAGGTATGGCAACTTGGACCGATGCATATATGTGCCTGGTCCTACGTTGTAGCTGACTGACTGACTTTTCTAACCCCACCCCTCCTTGTGAGAAGGCAGTATCGCTGTTATGCTGGTTGTCTGAAGGAAACACCTTACTGTCGTCACACCTCTGTACAGTCAGCAGTACAACTTCGCCTTCGGACCTTGAGTTTGCTGCTTTTAGTCTCATTGTCCTTCAGTCAACCTGCCTGGCATGGTAGGACGTTGAGAAATGATTGTTCCAGCCAGTATAACTCGATTGCTTCATCACGATAGGCGAGCCCGATTATCATGTCAAGGTAGCAGCAACTACTTCCATGAACTCGGTGTTCATCTTGCTGTGCTAATGAAGTATGGCAACTTGGACCGCTGCACATATGTTCCTGGTCCTACGCTGTAGCTGACTGACTGATAATGACTGACCTCTATTCGTCAGCGCAGAATTTCGAAGATACCGTTGAAGTGTAGTTCGACTTTGAATCCAATCTTTCCACTACATCATCAGACCAGCTGTTACTGAAAGGTTCTTGTTTGGATAACTTATTTATTCTTAAACTTGATGGAACTAGTATATTAATTCAGAACTTTGTATTGATTCTTACTCATGATAAGCCAAATTTTTGTGACCATATTTTAACATTTATTCCGTCACTTGTGTTTTCAGGCTTATCCAATAAATAGTGTTAGCGTGTTACAGCTTTTTCATACATATTTTACTCTTATGGTGAGTCTGTAACTCTATGATTATCAAAATATGTACTGTTGTAATGTAGTAGTTTCCAACCAATTGCTCGTTATAATAATACCAGTTCCCTACATAATTATTTGTAGTGTTGAATCTGTTAATATCTCGAACAATTCATTGTTTTTAAAATTTTAACTCAGGGTTTTGAGCAGTCACATGCATCGTCAAACGATCCATTGAAAATTATTATACGCCAAAACACGGCTATATCTCCACTTGTTTCCATTGAGAAAACAAAATCAAGGCCTATAGTTTCAGTGACACCTACGCGTAGTACAGCTAGTGAGAATCACACAAATCAATCTGATACTCATCGCACACGTTCTACAGCGGTTGTCACTCCCCTTCTTCGAAATGTCCTTCCGGAACTCAGTGATGATTCTTCTGATTCTGTTGTTTCTACGAATGATGCAAATCAAAAGACAAATAATACTGATAATAAAGAAAAACAATCTATTCTGGAAGAAGCAGCTAAAAATAACCAAGATTCTAACCGAGATACCTATCGAACTGATAGTATTCGCCTAAGAAGAAGATCTGCGAAACAAGGACGTTATTCCACTGAATTCATTATTTTCACCAATGTTAAAAACTCTCGAAAAAGAAGCCCTAGTGTCAGTCCTAAATTATCATCCCGTAGCTGGGAAAAGAATCCAGTAAGATTTATAGCAATTCGTTTCCTACATTTTCATATACTTGGTAAATGTATTATATTTAAAAAAAATTTATGTAGTTTAATACATCTTTTAATGGAGACTTGTGCATTTGTTGCTGTAATCTGTTTGTTCACCAACATGTGTGTACATACCACACTACATTTATTTCCATTTCTTCTACATGTTTTGTCGTGTATTCGTACTGTTAAATAATTTTGGGAAGTTTTTGTTTAGCCCTTTACTGTTTAATTCATTTAAAATTTAATGAATTCACTTATTGGAGACTCTGGTTGACATGACTCAGAATCGATCACAATGGCGTAGGTGTATACACTCTTTATCTTCCATTAAACCTTGAGATTAAAATTGCTTCATATCTGTCTTTCTTCCTGTACTATATTTTTATATACAACCTTTCTTTTATATATTACCACCACTAAATTAATTACTTCTATGATTTTGGTGCTCATCTTGTTGTGCTAAGGAGGTGTGGCAACTTGGACCGATGCATATGTGTGCCTGGTCCTACGTTGTAGCTGACTGATTGACGAATTTACTTACATTTATAATCTTTGACGTGCTGTTTTTATACTGATACAAATCATGTGATTATTGTTTTAATTTGTTCAATCAATTAACTAAAACCCTGTGAATGATGTTATTTCTGTCGCCTGTTGTAACAATAAGTGAGGATAACAGCTTATACTCATACATTTCATAAATTTCCCAATTTTCATTTGATAATTTATTCAAAGTCATTCAAACTTGACTCACCTTCTTGATAAGTAACAACCAGCTTTTATGCATTACACAAATAGGATTTGTGCGTTTTGATTCGTAAGTGTTATATTATAACTTACTAAAGCAGTTTCATCAATGTTCTCGGAATGATGGTAATATGACGGAACACCTATTTCATTGAGCAGCTAAAATCAACTCGTTGACAGTTTGCATCAATAAGTCATTCTTGTGAGTGGTTATCACTCCATAGTATCGTACCATTCCGTTTCATCTATCGACTGGTTATTTATTTATTTATTCATCTCCGAACTTTCTTCACTAGGAATCATGAAATCTCTCACCATAACATTTACAACGGGAATGAGATTATTGTTCTCACTAACTTGCTTAATAATTGAGAAAATTGTGCACCAATTGTCTGTTTGTATCGTTACTTTATTTTCTAACCAAAAATTCTATAAATAAGTTTGTCATTATTGTTACTACCATTATGTATTTGTTTTAACACAGATGGAGTTGACTTCCAAATCTGTTGGTGTTAGAACTCCATCAGTTGTTAGGTGAGTTTTCTATTGAAAGAAAGCGATACATTTCCATTGTCGTTTACATTCATTTCATTTGTGTAGTATCTTACTTTAGTTTCTGTGTATTTTTTATGAACGCATACATTTTTTCGAATGGAACTTTTGCTTATATTCATATTAATATATTAGTGAATAGGTTGTATTACAAAAATTCATATCCGTGTTGTCTTGTGCACTATCTAAGATAAAAATATGTATGAACTATCATAATTTTGAGATGGTGGAGAAGATTTGTAGCTCAGGTAGATGATTTTGATGGAGTTTTATTCTCTGAGCTGGATGGTTTGGTCGTGGAGCTCCACAGAACTATCATAATATATTTACGGAAACTATATGTTGTCTCTTCCGATTACCAGTAAAGTTAAAGTACACCTTGATTCGAAGATTTTTGTGTGTGTAGTAAGTTATTGTGATTTAAGTCAACTGACCATAAAGTCAGCTTTGAATTATATTGTTTGTATGATAAACTAATATGTTCCAACAGAACTAGGTATAACATAGATCGAATTTGTTATATATTGATTAAAAGCTATAAATGCTTTAACTATCAAGTTATTACTATGTCTTGTCTTTTCAAATGATAGAAACTCGCGTTGAAAGTCAATTCACTTAATAATAAATCATCTTTTTGCCTATGTTAATTTATTACACTGATGTGATAACTTTGGTCTTAGTGAGTACTATTGTAGTGAACGTAAACTGAGATGGGGAAAACCAACTTATTGTTTTATGCAAAATTATACAGTGACTTTGTAAAGTACGAAAACCATACACTAAATACATTATTTACACATCTTCCTTCAGTTGTCCTTCACATCATGATTCTTCCAATTCTGTTATTGTTCCAATTGTTCTCTGTTCCCCTTCCTCTTCTCTTTAATTCAATCTTATGCTGACAGGGATTCCACTTCCGATTGCTGCTACATACTACTTATATCTGTCAGTATAGGTTGCGTGCACTGCACTATGTGTTAATCACTCCACTTAACGTTAAAACTGAAGTTCAATAGGTTAGCATTTATTGCAATTGGAAATTATTCAAAGATAGAATCTTATTCTTTAAATGTTGTTTAAAGTGTTAGTATGACCAATCATGAAGAAAGTAACAGATACACCATAAGAAATGTCAGGCCCATGTTTCTTTTTAATAAATCATTCAAATAAAGAAATACATACATATTTGTGATGAATTTAACAAGAATCATCTAGTCGACTTGTTAATTACAAAATGTGTACATAAGAAATTAGATTATTTGGTAAGTAGTAATTAGACCACATTCTAAAGTTCCCCTTACAGTTTAAATTTTCCGAATTCCGGTAAGTATTTTTTATTCCCTGGAACATCCTATGCTGCGTATTGTAGATCCTGTTCTTATTTTCTGAAAATACTTCTAATTTGTTTTATAGTTAACCAGTTAGTGTAACGTCTTAATATCTTTAACAAAATATTTTAATTGACTTTATTATGTAATAATCCTGCATACAACTGTTTCTATATTTCAAATATTTCTTCTAAGCAATTAATTTCGATGGAAATTCAAGTGTACCAAATATACTTATATGCCCTGGTACGGCAGAGTGTGGGGAGAGTCAGCTCTCCTTCTTGAAATGCTCTCGCGTGGTCAGGGGTATACAACCACTGACAGGGAAGTCGTACTCACTGACTTCTCAAGGCGGAGGTGTTGCTTACGAAATTGAAAGAACGAAAAGCGAATGCCCGGCGCTTTAACCGGGTTGGTGGACACGGAAAGTTCACCTAGAAGAGTTGGAAAACCCTGACTCCAAACCTTTGGTGCACATGGATCCCAGGATCCTGAAGGAACAAATGGCGTATGAACCAATTTTTGGTCACCGACTACCATGGGACTCCATCTCCCAAAGTTGCTCCACTGCCTTGTGGGTTCGACTTTTAGAAAACAATCTGCTTCGATCTGGGCACCCGGGTAGTATCCCAGCCCTCACACAAATGATTTATGTGGTGCATATCTATTTGGTGCCCTCTTGTACCAATGTTTATGTGTTTAAATAAATAAATGAATAAAAAGATGGTGATTCAATAGGTGTCTAAAATATCATACATATACATTCAATCTATTGAATTACCAATGAAATAAATTGTCAAGTCTTTTTTATTTACTATGAAGAAAAGTTTTAAACTGACAATTAAAACTGTCCTATTTCCGCTTTCTATCTGTATTTTCAGTAAACTAACTTCAAGTGAAGTCTAAAAGTTATTATTTTGACGTCAATCTTTCTAGTTTCCCCCTACTTTTTTTCTTGATTACTCTTTTGATTTAGTTCCAATTCTACCGTTGTTGTCCAGTCAAATACCATGTCTACTTTCAGCGACCGAAACATAAAAGACAAAGAACAACAGTTAAAAGATTTGGACGCTGAAGAACGCCTACTGCTGATCGATCGTTCCATAAAGTCAAGTTTAATTCAAGGTCACGAGGATATTGCCACATGTGTTGATAGGCTTGAGTTTCTTGACAAGATGACTATCTCTTTACCAATAATGGCTAGATGTTGGACAGTTGTAGAAACAATAAGAAAAGTAAGTGATAATATATTAAATCTTTTAGCAAACCATTGCTTTCGATTCAGTTTTTCTGTGCGAAATTTAAGTGTGGTGGATCAGTCTTTGTATATTTCATCTTGACATTTTTTCAACCTTGTTTGCCATATAGTATAGTATAGAAAAACTTTCCTATTTTTTATACCGTGAACTTTATATCAATCCAATGGTTTATGACTTCACCTATCATTTTTAAAGTTATTTTAAAAATATATCTATGGAAGATTAGCGTAGTAAACATTATATAGATTCACTCATTATTTACTGGCTATATTGATTTGCCAGTTCATCGTTACTACAAAGTCACATTTGTATGGTATCCAATAATTCAACTGTGTATATCTACATAGCTTAAGTGGTTAGCGTAATAGTAGGCGGACGAACACTAATAATGCTTTTTCGTATCGAGTAACCGCTTTCCTAACATTTTTATTAAGTTGCAACTAAATATTAAACAGATTAACGGGTTTTCCTAATTGACCCTACTTATCTACATGCGACGATAATAACAGTCGATATAATGAAGGTCAAACTTGCCTGAAATCTTGGATAATACGTATGAACATTTATATTTTGTAACTATGATAGAGAGCTTTCTATAAAGTCCGAATTTTATTTTAATTGTAGTTTGTGAAAGAGTTTGTAAGAATTTCGAACAGACGATACTGTGTATCTCTCGATCCTTACATGTCATCTTACCCCGCTATTCTGTTCCACAACATGATAGGAATGACTTAATGGAGCACCTTGACTGATGCCCGATTAATTTGCTATAGTTGATATATCTGATGCCATTAAGTCTATATTTTTAATGGTAATGGTAGCCTGGTGCTTAAAGCATTCGACTTACAATCACCAATTCCCAGGTTTTTTACCCTCCTCTACTTAATTAAGCTTGAACAACCAGGGGGTATCATTACCCTTCATACCTAGAATGTGCCTCATACCCAAGTACACCTATTGTATAAGCTTATTAAATTAATTTTGATTACAAAATATCACTATTTTAACTTGACTTTTAGTGCCGTCGATATAAACGTTCTTTAGAAGTAAAAATTGCTGCTCAAAAAGTATTTAATAAATTTCTCCAACTTTATGCTACTGCTGATAAAAATGAGGTAAGTTTTGTTTATTTATTTAAATAGTGTGAAGTGCATTTGTCATTATAGACATATTCGTCGCTAGCTTACTTTCCGTTAAATGTGCTGCGTTTGTGCGTATTAGATAATGCCACCAAGTAAATCTCAGTTGAAAATAGGAACAACTTGCTTTTTTATTAGTTAAAACGTGGCTGGTGCTTAGAAGTAATTGACAGAAATACCTAGATTCGAGTTTTTTGTTCTAGTTCATGCTCGTCAGTAGGGTGTATGTACTCGTGTGACTCTCACCTGCTCCATCCGATATCGTAGTCAAAACAAATGTGTTTTGAAGTTCTGTTGAGGTGTTGAAAAAATATACTATTGGATATTAGCATCAGTTACATTTATAGTTGGGTTGTTTTTTAGGCTCTCAATGCATAAGACAGATTATTCTTGAAAACTTTGTTTTATGCTTAAACTTGACTTTCTACTTAAAATAAGAATTTGCAGACAGTTCATTCTGCTCCCCGTTACGTTAAAAAGTTTTTATTATTTATGAACTTTCCCAATACCTGACAGTGATCATCTTAGGTTTTTTTACTCATCACTCGGTTCTCATTGCTTCACATTAGTTCCGGCTACATATACTCAGTTAAATAATACACTGGTTGTCTCCAACCACAATTAAAATATGAGAACTTTTTTTGTTCAAGTCTTGTATAGCTTTGATAATATAATCATCAAGGTTGGATGATTATTGAATTTTTAACAGTTACTAATGTCTTCGTATAAATTATGGTGTTTTTTGGTGTATACTGATAACTATACAAAATGTGTTTTCAGTGTATTCATGCTAAATGTTCTTTATATACTATATATACAATCCTTTTTATATCTCAGTCGACATATCTTTCTTTTTTCACTGTTTAGTTGGATCTTGCCCATGCTGAGTTGATTAAGCATCAACAGCGTCATATAAAGAAACATTTTCCTGGCTTTAATAAAGGTGATTCTTTAGAAGAAACTGCATCAATGTCAGCCAATTCTATTCCCCCATACATGGGACCTAAATCTATGGCTGATTTATTCCAACTGACAATGCGCTCTTCAAAAAGTGAGGTACCAGATGTTAAAAAAACTTGTCATGAAGCAGGAAAAAGTAATTCTGAAATTTTACAATCTCCATCTTCTGTTGATATAACACCTAATACATCCCAAGCTTTAGAACGATTTGAATTATCGACTGTTAATATGGATACACTTACCTGTGTTGCAGTTAAGTCTCCTACTCAACATGTTGTTACCACAGTTTGTGAGTCAGAATCTCATTCATCACTGCATTCACCTTTAAAAGTAGGTTATCAAACTGATGTCTCTGTCCAGGATATACCTCTCCCTGAAGAAACCCCCACTCAGTTTATTTCACCGAAGGAAACAACCATGAATTCAACTGATTTAATTGCCATAGGTAAAGACATTTGTGAGATGCCAACTGAAGAGGAGGATGTTGAAGAAGAATTCGAACTTCTAGATGTATATGAAGAACCAGAAGAACCAGACGATGCTGCTATAATCCAACAATCTGATTGTAAACTTCCCATACCTCAGTTCTCTGAGCCGGATAACTTTGTTAAGACCAAAAGTATATCTCTATCTACTACACCTGAACAAGCTGGTTTTACAGTGACTCCTATGTCAGACATCAATTGTGGTTCATCAGCGACGTATATGGGTGCATATCATTCTCATCCTGTTATTACAAATAAGTCGCTATATCCATATCCTATTTTCCCAAATTTACAGATGCAGAATCCCTACAGAAACCATGGTAATTTCTTAACCGATTATTCTTCACCATCTCATTCACATCTTCGCCAGAATGTTGACGCAACTCCACCTCAGTCTTCCTCACGCGCTTATATACCACATTCTCTTCATCCTTCAGAAGATCCTCCTCCACCTTATAGGCCATATATTCCAAGTCGCTGTGACCGTGAACAAACTCAAGAATTAATAACTTCACTTGAATCATCTACAAAACTACCAAAAGAATTGTCTCAATCTAGTCATATCACAAATAACGGAACTATCCAAGAACTCACTTCAACGACCAAGCAATCAAATCCCAATCCCGATCGCCGCAAAGTTTGTAGTGCATCTAATAAAAACAATATTTCTCGGGAAATTCGAACTCCGCCTCATCGAGGTCGTAGTCCACACGCCCTTCCACATCCACTAGAGCACTATCAACGTTATCTTAATTCTGCTCTTAGCTCTGAAGATGAAACAAGTAAAAATGATACGTCTAAACAATTCACTGACAGACCTCTTCTATCGCATGACACTTTACCGAATGATCAGTCATCTGTTAATGATTCTAAGACCGATAAAGTTAAAACTCATATTTCTCCTGTTAATGATAATCTTCACAATGAAATGCCCTTTGTTAGTCCATCTGCTGAAGATCTTGATACTCGTATTGCACGGTTGTATGATTTAGCCATGCGCAAAAATAACATAACAACGTCAAATACTTCTGTAGATACATCTAATGAAAATAAATCACAAAAGCCCACTGGCAATCCAATTACTTCTCCCCCTCCTCCTCCACCACCACTTCCTACGTCTCAACGTATACTATTCACACATAGACCGCAAAATCCAATTCATTCGAATGTATCTAAATCTCTGACTCCTTTATCGTCTTCACAACAGGAACTGCGACTGTCATCTCATAAGATTAATACCAACAACAGGAATCTTGAAAACAATACTGGACATCGAGGACCTATCGATCGCAGCAATCAAATTAGTTCTAGCTCTTTACATGAACAGATTCGGTATTTACCATCTGGTTCTCATCCGCCCGGCCCTGATAATATTGTGATTAATCCTTACATTTCATCTGAGCAACAAACTAGAAATATCCCTATTTCTGAATCTGCTCTTGGATTTTCTGGTATTAGCTCAGATTCTATACACCCAGCAACCTGCTCATATCCAAGACGACCTTTAAATAACCAACCACAAAGTGCTCGTCATTATCCTACGAATCCGAGACATAATTACCAAACACCACCAACAGCACATCCTCATTTTCAACATTCTAATTCAAATCGTATGAAGTTAAATAATGATCCATTACACTCCGGTCGGCGTCATTCAGATAGAGATGATGATCGAGATATTTATTCAATGCTTGGTGTTTGAATAAAACATTCGTATCTTTTTAGTTTTTGCTTTTAGCTTGTTAAATTGATCCCTTTGTTGAACTTTACTTATAGATACTTAGATTGATTCATTATAAAATGAATAAAAAATTTATATTTTATTCTTGATGTTCAAGATCTAACTCTTGAACTCCTTTCTTTCTCTCTCTCTCCCAATAACTCTTATATTTTGTTTCCTTTTATTTAAATATCACCAAATCATGTAAATATTTTCATAATTCTGTTCTATTTTATCATTTCACCTTTTTTTTGGTACAAAATGCCAATAGACCTTATTTCAACTTGTACATTTTTTTCAAATGATCATTAAAAGAACAATCCAGATTTATCAATGATATACGTTGTGTGTGTGTAAGTTCATCACTTTCATCTTCTCTTGGGTGTGTCAAAAGGATTTTCATTTGCATTTTGTTTTTGTTTTTCAGTAAAAAGAACAACAACTTCTAGACTGACACAAATATGATAACCTGTTTGTTTGTGTGTTCAATTAATTGATAACAAAAAGAATACATGATCACTTTTATATATTGATTTATATTCATACCAGCTGATAGTTGATCAGTCACAACGTAGAACTTCGTACGTACGTACATCAGTTCGAGTTGCCATACCACATTAACACAGAGATGCAGTTTTCGATTCAAATCCAATAGTGGTAGAAGTAGGAAGAGTATAAGCATTATGTGAAAGATTAGGGTTTGAAGATGTTATTGAAGGAGTATCATTCAGTGAAACAAATTTCAAAAGAGAAAAAAGATAGAGGCATGAAAAATTCAGAGGATTAGAATTTGGTAGAATATAAAGAGTGAATGCACCTTGGCCATTGCAAACGATTTTGAGCCATATCATTCAAGATCTCTAACCATCGAATAGTTGATCAGATGTGGGTAGGTATAGTATATAGTTTCTATTAATATAATAAGGCATATGTTTTTGAAAAAAAGCAATTCTATTTTCTCAAAACTAAATATCTATAATACATTGTATAATGAAGGTATTTCGTTAGAGAATTTACTGTTTTTTGTATGATCATAATAAACCTAGTATTTCACATCTTGATCTTATTAAAAACAATCTTGTAAAATCTTTAGTGAACCGGATCCGAGTTCTTTCGTCGATTCAAACCATGCTGTGAAACAGAAAAAAAGAATAGTGTTATGAATGGTTGTTCATCATAAGTAATCACTTAAAATAGGTTGCATAACCTCCTAAAAGACTTCGATTGAACACCAGTATTGATCGATATTGATTGGTAATGTTAGTATTATTTTGGAGTAGGGTCTGAGTAATAAGTATTCAAACAATATTTCTATTCAGTGTGTGAAGTATCTTCTTCTTTTCCTTCATTGATTGTATCACAGCATCGTGGTCATTTTAAAATTTGCCTTGGAGGGAGCAATCAGTAAATGTGTATTAAATAAAATGTTAGTCGTAATGAACACAGCCTTGTAAAATTAATCGTTTGCCCATATTAGTGTAATACAAATAAATGGTGAAAAGGTTGAAATAATGTAGCAACTATCGTAATGTTAAATTCATTTTTTAGACTTTACTCAGACTCTAATTGATGATAGTGATAAAATATTGATTTTAATTTGATATATGATACTTCAGCTAACTCCGTTTGTACAATGATTTCATTAAAAAACCAAATACTAGTCGTAGCTGGTTACATGAATCCACATATGCAAACTGTTATAACGTATGAACGTGCAATTAGAGAGGAGTGGATTTTACTGATCGGACGCAAATGATACTTGAAATCGTACGAGCAGTCTTGGGTGCTATTCGGTCCTTCCTATCTGCCTAGCCCAGCCAGTTGAGTGCAGAACAAATATAGCAGCCTCGGCAATATGAATCATTATTCACAAGCATACTGGGTTTATATACTAACCAAACAGACCACAACATACCAAAAAATAGAAAAATCACATTTGTACAATAATTGGCCAATGTGGCTGTGGATAGGGGGAAAGTAATCAATAATAATAGTTCAAAGGTCAGTTATTTAACAACTATACAATAGGAAATAGGCAGATTACATTTGTCCATAAATAGACCTCAGATTTACCATTCATAATTCACCAGGGTATATAACACAAACAAACAATGGGAATTAATAGATGGATGTAGTATGTACTTCGACTATTCCTAGTCAAATGATTCAGATTTTATATCAAGTAAACAATGTATGAGATTTATGGACCTGTTGTCGGGCATTCATAAATGTAGAAAGTTGCGGCTTATACGAATGGATAATTACGTCCACGAGAATAATTAATGTAAGTATCGTAAGCAGAGATAGATATTGGTTAGCAGTCTAATCCAGGACGTGTGCCAATAACAGACTGATCTATTGAAGTCATTAACACCAATAGGAAGACTCAAATAACCAACACAAAAATGAATTATAAGTTAACCCAATTGCGCAAGCTAGTGGCTGTCTGGATTCAGTAACGCGATGGCGTACTGGGGTTGGAGTCCTGGAGTGAATATCAACTCCGGGATACAGGTACATTCAGCTGACGGTGAAACGCTCATCCTAGATACCACTGCTAGCTACCATCCGTCTCCGCATATAACGCTTATGACGTAAGGCAATCCGCACATATGCTGAAGAGACTGGTCAATCGCGGCCATAAAGATCAATGGACAGACTCAAACAATTAATACAAAACTTATTTAACGTATGTGTTGGATGAGTGTGCGTAATACTCGTAAAAGAATTGTTTTGTCTTACTTGCTTGTCTACATAACGTTTCGTTAAGTAGAGGTAACATGTGTGGTATCTGTGTAGTTAAATAGTATTCTCCCACTGCGACCCCGGACTTTATATATCAACACTAAGTTCATTAAACTTATAAACCAAAGTGTTACAAATTGTCATTGTGCCATAGATAATGTCAGTTGATGATGAAAACACTGTATTATTGCAACATTAACTCAAAATATTAGCCCGATTACTAATATGTAAATGTAACTATTTCCATTTACTATGATAAATAACTTAACATGTAAAGGTTAATTAATTGTAAGAAAATCATTATCCCACCGTATCAGTTTTCTTTTCATAATCATTAAAGGTTAGTGGTTACCTCACTTTTAATATTCGTGTCCCAACTATTGTTCGTGAGTTCATGACTAAACTTTATCAGGTTAAAAACATTCTATTAACTGAATCATATTGCATCAGTTGACCGCTTGAAATAATAACTATAATTTAGCAATTATATTCTTACTAATGTTACAAGGTGATTTCTAGGTTGTTGTTTTGCTGAAATTTTTATTATTTCATTCACATTCGTATTGTACCAAGATCCGTCCACTCTTCTTAGAATGATGTGAGGAGTTTGCGATGTCAAGAAATATGACTGAAGAATTAGTTTAACGGGATATTCTGATTGTTACGACAATCAATTATCATTATCTGTTTCATGTATAGGCTTCAAAACATTTATTAAAAAAACTTACACTTTCTGTTAGCTCTTGAGTAATTTTGGTCATTGAAGGTCTTTTAGATGGATCGTTTGACCAGCACTTACACATAAGAATCTATAAATGTATATAACAAGCACAAAATAAACAGATATGTAAATAAATTCATTTTATCAATTTAAAAAGTTAACTCAGTCAGTCACTAACCATCGATTGCTATCATCTCGTGAATCCCAACCAGGTAGTCTACACCTACCAACATGGCTCAGCTCACTTGTCGGTGACTTCATGTAGTTGTGTCACTTTTTCGTGTGGCCGCCCCTAGCTTTCTTCCAACCTACTCCTACACCATGGAACATTGCACGTCTGGGCAGTTGGTGGTTGGGCATACGTAACTCGTGTCCCAGCCATCTCAACTGATGAAGTTTTACTATTTCATCAATCGATTTGCCATCTTTAACTAGTCAATTAAAGATTTTATGAATTTAAACATTATTTCTGCTCTCGTTATCATAAATCTTATTTCTTTATTAGTTGTTATAAGTTGGAAAACTACGATATACACGCTAACGTTCTGTGGATTCAATTCGTTTATAAAGTCTTTTTTTTTGAAGTATACAGTGTGATCACATTTTAAATTGTCGTACATCATAGTTATAAACAAATTTTTTTTCTTATATGAATTTTTCAATTATCAAATATCCAAGTAGAGAGTTGAACATCCCAAATAATTCAGTTAACCTACCTTCATCGAAAATTATCCTCAACTGAAGAAACTCTACACACATTTTCTCATTATTAAAAAAATAGTCTACCTTTGAATTTCATGGAAAAAGAAGTTTTGAGTTTGACACTGAGATTCTATTTCACTTGGTGGAAATGATGGATGTCAGAAAGTTTTTGAGTAAATATCATCGTCAATTCTAAAGCTTATTGGGGTTAAACAATCTTTTTTGAACTCAGCAAGTAAACATTTTAGGTGCTGTTATTGTCATTCGGCCAGATATCTAGTTTCGACTTTTATCTTTAAACCATACTACTGGCTTATAACGCGGTTGATATTATAGTAAATAAAAACCAAGAGGTTATCCGACCTGAATATCTACCATTTAAAACCTTTTTTGTATTCATTTCGAGTATTCGCTGTACTTCTAGTCTGTTATGGTAGATTTGTCTTGTGTATGCTTGTCAAAACAAGTTATTCTGCCAGTCTAAACTGGTTTTATAAGTGGTTGAGTAATGGGATATCAGAAATAACAGATGTAAAATAGTCACTCTATATCGTGGATAGGTTGAAGTTAGATATGAACACTGTTGTATCCCAGCTCGATGGTCTGGGAGTTGGGCGTCCGCACGAAACCGAAGGTCCTGGGTTCGAGTCCTACTGGCGGGATCGTAGATGCGCACTTCTAAAGAGTTCTATGCCAAAACGGAACAGCCGTTCAGTACTCCTAGGTCTTCAGTGGTGGTCTAACATCAATTGGTTCATGATCTCAACAATCATCACAGCTCTATGCTGAGAAATAACAGTTAGGAATTTTCTTAAGATGATTTCAAAAGTTCTCACCCTTAATTTAATGTTAAGGAGTGCTCACTGTCTCATTTACTGAAAAAATTGAGTTTATAAGTTAATCAGCCTACTCTGTTCAACATTAATTGTTATAATTATCTCACTTGAGAACGCATCATTAAATAGCTGAACTACACATCACATCATGCAATGTTAACTACATCATCGATTGATTGGTTGCTCATTTATACTATTGATGAGTAGGTAGACATAATACACTTTTCTCAAAAGTCTCTTGAGTGTTTGTTAGTGTAGAAAGTACTTGTCATTCATTTATTGACTGGTCAGTCTAACCATCGATTCTTCTACTCCATTCTCCATACTGTTAATAACTACTGTACGAAAAGTATCTCTGAGCCGAGCAGGTAAATTTGTACTTATTTATTTTGCTGTATTATATTACTTGAGAATGATCTATTTATCAGCGTTCAGTAGATTGTGCATGGCTCTGTGGTTAACAATCGTATTCTCTGGTGATTCAGTTGAAATTTATTTTCGAATTTCGTATTATAAGAGACTCGGTCATATCACTAGTAATTTAATGGTCTACACGCAAGAATTATTTTCATTCTTACTAGATCGATTGAAAATAAAACTTTTGAGATTATGTTCTATTCTAAAAAAACATACCTTCATGTAAGTCGGTATGCAGTATGCACGGCCATCATCTCTCTGACCATCCAGTAAATATTTAATACAATGACATAAATCCAATTCTTCATATGGATAGCATCGAGTGTTTATTTCAAATATGATTGTCCTATAGTGAAATTGACAGTACAAATGGACGGTAAGTAATTTCAAAAAATAAATTTACTAATATTAACCGCATGTAAAATAATACGGAACCAATTAGTCCCTTTTATAAACTTGTATAGTGTAATAAGAAGACGAAGATTATCAGAACTATGTAATTACAAAAAATAGAGTTAAAACAGGTCATAAGACTGATCTTAACACGAATTTTGTAGTGTTGTACAAAACTACATTACTATTGTTTATTGAAGCCTTGGCTATACGAAAATTCCAACCTCTCTATTTGTATTCAGAAACAGTTTATACTCACCTTAAACCTACCCTGATAATATTAATTTATTGTCCAGTGTGGTGTGTTTCATACTGTTTTCCACATTATTTTCTTGATTATCTTTGTTTTCTCTTACCCTCCATTTGTCTAGTTGACCTATAATTTTTATATATAAATGTACTTATTAAGTATATGTGTGATCAGATTGTTCGTAATGTATTGCGCTAATATATCACGTAGTTATGACAATCGTTGTCTTCTTATTACACTGTCCAAATTAAAGAAACATGTTTATGCTAACAGGTTGTAGCTAGTAAAATCAATTGTAGAAATTGTTTACATTCAGTTTTTAAGTAATTTTTACTTAACTGTGATGGTCTAAAGAATGATAAGATTCAATGTATTTGTCCAGGATTTTGAGATATTAAACAGCAAGGTCTACAAGCAATAATTTCTCTTGTGTTATGACGATAAATAAATCTATTGATCGCAACGAATGAGTATCTATACTCAGAACTGAATCATTTTTCCAGTTAAACCCGTAATTATGTTTAATTTGTCTATACGTATCCTAATTAATATCATACAGTTAACAATTTTCATACTCATTTTTGTCATATCCTAGTGAAGACATAAGTACGGGTAACTTCCTGGACCTGTTAACGGACGATTATTCGATATATATTTGTATTGTTTAACTATTGAGTAATTAGATTGTGCATGTCCATATCCATCTTATTATATACTTCATTTTGACCTATGGATTATTATTATACGAATTACTGTCCTTAAATTATATTCAGTTTGTTGATTACTGTCTCCCACGTTCACAGCCACATTTGGCTTGATCTTGTAGAAATATTATTTTCTATTGTATGGTGTGATGCGGTCTGTCTGTCTGGTATATAAACCGAGTATGATTCGAATAGCAGAAGCTATAATTAGTATTCTGGACTCCATTGGACGCTAGATTGCTCATATCAGACGAACGTCATTGATTTGGCACAGTGCTAAGATTAAACAAGTCGTATTCCCATTGGTGAACAAATCACGTGATAAAAAGCCGGATATAAAATCACTAAAAATTGGCTATGGTTCTTTTTAAATTCGTAACCATTTTCAATATGTAAGCAAAGATGGATAGTGACTAGCAGTGGAATCCAGGACGCGCATTTCGTCCTATTCAGGACTCGTCAGCTGGGTGAACCTATTTCTCAGAGTTGATGTTCACTCTGGAACTCGAACCCAGTACCTTTCGCTTCAAACGCCATCGCGTTATCCACTTAGCTACTGATTCCTGATAGCCACTTGCTTGTGCAATGGTGTGAAGTTTAAATTCCCTTAGTATTACTTGTTTCAATCTTCCTATTGATATGATTCATGTTAACATCTTAAATATCAAAATATCGAGGTATAAACGAAGTATTTTTGTTGTCAATAAATTCTCTTCAGGTTATCCACTATTTATTTTCTTTCATAAATAATCTTAAATTCACATCCTATAACTTTCATTGACATGTATAAATTAAACCTTGTCTGTTTTGGATTGTTACTTTGAATAATATAATTGTAGGACTATAGAGAATTCATTGTAAGGAATATTCTTTGTTCATACACTAGTAATACAATATAATGGAAATTTTCAATATCAGAAGGGGTTTTGTAAAGATTTCAGTATTTGCATAGTTGAAATCATGAGTCAATTGAAGCTAGACCACCATGGAAAACCTGGAAGCACTGAACGGCTGTTTCATCCTGCTGAGGAGTCCCACAATAAGACAAAACGGCTTTCCAGTACTTCCAGGTTTTCCATGGTGGTCTAGCTTCAGTTGACTCAGGAAATTTTTAAACCGTTACAATCCTTGAATATTTTTTTAGATAAAATCTGTTTAACTATATCATTGATAATATTTCATATGAATTTAACCTTACTTATCGCCCCCAAATGCCTTGGTACGGCCGAAAGTGGGGAGTGTCCGCTCTTCCTCTCGAAATGCTCTCACATGGCCACGCGTATATAGCCTCTGTCAGGGATGCCCTACTCAATGCCTTCTCGTGGCATTACTGTTGTTTACGAAATTGAAAGGACGAAAAGCGAATGTTCGGGGCTTTAATCGGGTTGGTGGACACAGAAAATCCATCTAAGGTAGTCGGAAAACCCTGATTCCAAACCAATGGTGCACATGGGCTCCAGTATCCTGAGGGAACAAATAGTGTATGAACCAATCGTTGATCACCGACTATCATGGGACGGCATCTCCTCACGATGTTTCACTGCCTTGTGGATTAGACCTTTAGGTCAAAGGCTCGGGGTGTGCCCCCCTAAGAAAACCACCAGCCTCAGTTTGGGCACCTGGGCAGTACCACAGCCCTCACACAAATTGAATGAGATTTATGTGGCGCATATGTATCTGGTGCTTCTTTGTACCAATATTTATTTGTTTAAATAAGTAAATAATTATATATATATATATCGTTCTCTTAGGAATACATCAGAGTTAAAGTTATTTATAACCTTACCCAAATGCAAATATATCAGAAAATGTAGTAAATTCTGTTACAGGTATGTGTACACATTTAAATAATAGTTTTTTTTGTTCTGATCTTGAAATAAATTCACGAATTGTTTTAATGAAACTAACTTTACGCGGTGAAATTGATTGAATTGATTTATCATTTTTAGACATTTCATTTGGATACATAGATATATGTTCAGATAAATATATATTTGGCAATGATATATATTTTATTAATTGAGGGTAATCAATTGTTTTACTTAAATCAGACCATGATTTGAATAGATTGATATATTGTGGATTATATATGGATGATTTCATTGTAGTTAAGTTATAATGTAGACGGGATTTGTGAATATTAAATAAATGAATTGATGTATGTGGTTTGTTGTGTAAATAGCCAGGAGTATTGATAAGTTTTGGTTCTTTCAAAGTTGACTGACAGTTGTTTTTGCATAGTTTTTCAATTGCTTTTTTGATATTTAGTAAAAGTTCCGGTGCAATATATTTTACTCCATCCAAAGGAATCGGAACGTGATCCGGTCTGAATTTTGTAATGAGAAAAAAAACATAGAGACTTTGAAATTAAATTTTCATCACTATCATTAATTAAGGTCTCATCGCCTATAATATTTCAAATATTTCGATGTGTAAGGGAAGCAGAAAAGTGGAAGACCAAAGAACACATTACACCGAGAAATAGAAGTAGATATGAAAAGGATGAATAACAACTGGAAAGAACTAGAAAAGATCTCCCAGGACATGGTTGGATGGAGAATGCTGGTAGGCGGTCTATGCTCCTCTACGAAGGGTAACATGCGTAAGTAAGTTAGTGAGCAAATTCTGGGTGTTAGAACATAGTTTTTACTGAGGATTTCATTTTAAGATGTAACTTCCACTCCATTTGCTTTTTCCATCTGTCAGGTTGAAATGTGCTATATTGCAGTGTTCACAAAAGGCATATTTAGATATCTTTATACGATTAAAATGAAGTTTTCAATGGAAAGCACAACTATATGCAGCACTGAAATTAAATGGACGGAAAAATACTTAAAGATGCTAGATAACTCACTTTGACTAAGCATTGTAAAAAGATGGCTATCCTCAGCCGATATTTGATATGATTGACTAGTACGGAAATACCACGTACTCCTACTCACAAACGTTTTCAAAGTCAAGACGTCAGTAAGAATTTCTAAACGGAGAATGCCATTGGAAGAAACAGATTGTGGACCTTTTTAAGGTCCCAGCCTACAAATTTTTGTTTGGTCAGATGTTCCATAGTATATATACCGATTATTTGTCTACATTATAATTCCGTTTGTTAGTTAAACTTCACTCATTCCAATTTCCTCATTTGAATAGTGGATTTGAAGTGCTATAGGATGTTAATTGCATAACGTGATCAAACAGCAGAACACAACAATATTTATAATTAAAGAAAACTCTTTTTCTGATTAATTGCCTAGTTTGTAGTCTACTTTAGCTAGATATCTTTCGAAAATTAAAATGTAATAAACAGCTATTTTGCACCAGTATGGAACTCTCCTGTAATGTTCCAGCTAGAGACTGAAACTAGGAAATTCATTCACTTAGGTGAATGCGTTACTGCACAGTCCTAATATAATCCAGTGCATATTTTCAATCTTATTATCTAATATCTTTAAGTGTCATACTGTGGTGTTGTCTACTTATATCCACATAAGTAGTATATGATGTGGGTCAGACATAGAATGTATTTTCGCAGAAGACCGATGAGGAAAGAACCGAAATGAAGCGCAATCGTTTGGAAAATGCATGAGCAATAGAATTAGAGAAGAAACAGTGAAGATTGAAACAATTGGTTGTTAATTTGCAAATTGACTGTTCATTGTTTGGTTATCAGAATTTACCGAGATAGTCTGTAATGTTTGCTTAAAAACATTCGATTGTCCCCAGCTAGTGTTCTGTTCATTACAATACTACTTGACATATTTTGTTATGTCCCCAAATTCCCTGGTACAACCGAGAGTGGGGAGAGTCCGCTCTCCCTCTCGAAATACTCTCACATGGCCACGCGTAAATGAATTCCAAATTCATAGTTTATAGGAATTGTGCATTTCGGAAGATTTGAAAATTTTACGTTTAATTATTCATAGAGACATGCACAGGAACAGTTGTTAAGTTAGGAGTTGCAACAAAGTAGCCTCTCGTTGAAATCATTATTCTATTGAAGTAAGGACACTTTTAAAAACCTAGGAGAACTTGAAAGTCATTTCGTTCTAGCATGGGACTGCCCAGCAATGAACATCCACAACCGCACACGTGAGAACCAAACCCAACACCTTTGGTCTTGCGCGAATATTTAAGCTTTAGAACACTGAGCCGTGATCCAACAGTGTTAATGTCCAACTTCAACCAATCTACGATATTGCGTAACCATATTCCATTGTTTACGGTGATTAACCTGCCTCACATTTGACATGAATTAGCTCTATTGGTCATCGTTTAGTTCAGTTCATGATTTCAATTAAGGTCAACAATCTCTACAACTACGTAATAAAAATAATCTTTATAAGGCACATTAGTTTTTAAAACCGTACAAAAACTCCAACACAATCCCTTTAACAAATGTCAAGTATTCCCAAATATAATAACTACGATTAAAACTGCACCAAGTCTACTAAAATACTCTATAATTTGAAATTTAATTTGACACCTAAATATTTAAAAACTTACTTAGTTACTTACTAACTTAAGTACGCTTGTTACTCCTCGTGAAGGAGAATTAACCGCCTACCAACATTCTCCATCCAACTCAATCACGGTAAATTGTAGTAGTTCTTCTTGTTTTAGCTCCGTACAGTAGAACTGTTTCGAAGTTCACATTGAAAATTCCGACTTTGTTATTGGTTGACAGTTGTTTTGGGTTCCAAATGATCAACTGTAGGATTGAACCCTCACTATGCCAATCTTTGCCTTCACATGTACATCATATACTCCTCGTTCACCAATGAAGCTGATAATGTCATGTACGCGAAATTTTCCATATGTTCCAGTGTTTTTCCATCAAGTGTGACGGCGTTGATGGTCTCTGTGTTGTATTTAAAGATCTTTGTTTACCTTTTTTGTATGTTGAGGCCTACTGATATAGAGGCTGGTGGGCGGCTAATGCTCCTTCACGAGGGGTAACAGGTATACTTAAGTAAGTAATAAATTTTTAGTATGATTCGGTTTGTGAATTTTAGACAAACGCTTGAATATAATTACACTTTCTGTATAGATAATTTAAGTCGGAAATGTTCAATTATGACTGCTTCTACAATTCAGAGAAAATGGATGCTGGTTTTCAGTTAATTATTTCGAATGTTTTGTGAAATTTTACTAAATTAGTCTAGGCCAAATAGTTTGGGTGTAATTCAAATCTGAACGTGAATGCTCGATAGCTATAGTTTTACACAAATTTTCTAATCTTCAATAGATATGTTATATCCAGTCGTTTTTGTCCATTTGTTAAGTGAATTTATTATTTCAGAATGTATTTTCCATTCCAGATTCCATTTTAGACAAATGAAGTCATCCCCAACTCTCTAGTAAGAATATATTAGTACAGTACAGCCCAACATCGAAAATTTGAAAAAAACAATGAAATTTAAGGCTTGAAATAAGATCACTGATAAAGTCTAGATTCTAGGTTATAGCTCTCATACACACTAAATGAACATAAAAACGGTCAAGTTTTATTTTATTATTTTATAATACTTATCTCAGTAATATGTACTCTTTATTTTATCTGTTATGAGAATGGTATTCATATTTAATCTGCATACTGTACTGCTTGATCCTTTTCAATATATTCTGTAGAATTTTAAAAAAAACAATAAACTTTCTGACAAGTATTCTTTGAGTGAAACTACGTATTTTTACATTTAAGTAGTATATTATATTTAGAAAGGGTTTTGTGGAGATTTCAGTATTTTCATAGTTGAAATCATGAGTCGATGATCAATGGTCTATCGTTTAAGTGCTCTGGCGCGAGACGGGTAGGTCTTGTGTTCGAATCTCGCGAGTCGGGATCGTGGATGCGCAATACTGAAAAGTCCTACACTAGGACGAAACGGCCGTCCAGTGCTTCCAGGTTTTCCATGGTGATTTAGCTTCAATTGGCTCATGGTTTTAACTATGGAAATATTGAAATCTCCACGAAACCCCCTCTGGTTGTAATCATATCCTCACTAGTGACTGACTCCAAGATATATGTCCTGGAGTTCTAATGGGAAGCATTGACTAGTAGAGTTCAACCACGTCTGTTTTTAGATAACAACTCACTGAAGACGATTGGTGAACGGTTTCTCAAATTTCGTTGATTGGTTGAAGCTAGACATTAACACTGTTGGATGCCAGCTCAGTGGTCTAACGGTTAAGTGCCCTGTCGCGATACTGGTAGGTCCTGAGTTCGAATCTCATGAGGCGGGATCGTGGATGCGCACTGCTGAGGAGTCCTACACTAGGACGAAACGGCCGTCCAGTGCTTCCAGGTTCTCCATGGTTGTCTAGCTTCAATTAACTCATCATTCCAACTAGGAAATGTATATTACATTATATAGTATAATATAAGTAGTATGATTTGCTTTTAATAACAATTAAAATAATAAAAAATAAAATTAAAATGGAATTCATTTAACTTACATTTGATAATCACAATCAACCATTGAATAATCCATTAGATACAAATTCATTTTAGGTTTTAAAAAAATATTTTTACTAGATAAACGACGTATTACAATAGGATTATTACGACTATGTAAATAAGTCATAGCATTAGCTAATTGACGTAATAAATAGATTCGCATTGTAAATGATAATTTTTCACGCTTTATATGAAGTTTATTATATAATGATACACCTTTAGATGCACTAAAATTAGGGAAGAGGAAAAAGGAGAAATTTTGTAAATATGAAATGATGAATATGGAATCATGTTTTTGTAGAAAAAGCATGTTTGATTTATAAAATAGATGATTATACAGTCTTTCAAGCCCTATGGTTATTGTTAGATATGAAAGGTATATGAATATATAACTTAATTACTAACGCCTGTTACTCCCAATGGAGCATAGGCCACCGACCAGTGTTCTCCAACTCACTCACACTGTCCTGGGCCTTCTTTTCTAGTTCTATCCAGTTCTTGTTCATTCTTCTCATGTCTGTCTCTATTTCTCGGCGTAATGTGTTCTTTGGTCTTCCTCTTCTCCGTTGACCTTCAGGATTCCACGTGAGGGCTTGTCTTGTGACACAATTATCTGATTTCCTCAAGGTGTGCCCAATCCACTTCCAGCGCTTCTTCCTGATTTCTTCCTCTGCTGGAATCTGGTTTGTTGTCTTCCACAGTAGCTTGTTGCTGATAGTATCTGGCTAACGGATCCGAAGTATTTTGCGTAGACAACTGTTAATAAACACTTGTATCTTCTGGAAGATGGTCTTCGTTGTTCTCCAAGTTTCCGCCCTATACAGTAGAACTGTCTTGACATTTGTATTGAAAATTCTAATCTTGGTGTTGGTTGACATTTGTTTTGAGTTGCAGATGTTCTTCGGTTGTATATATGCTGCTCTTGCTTTGCCGATCCGCGTCTTCACTTCTGCATCAGATCCACCGTGTTCATCAATGATGCTGCCCAGATATGTGAAGGTTTTCACATCCTCCAAAGCTTCTCCGTCAAGTGTGATTTGATTGGTGCACGTTGTGTGGTATTGGAGAATCTTGCTTTCCCGTTTGTGTATATTGAGACCTACTGCTGCTGAGGCTGATGCTACACTGGTCGTTTTCTCCTACATTTGTTGTTGCGTGTGTGATGTAAGAGCCAGATAATACGCGGGGTCTAAGTCGTCCAGCTGCATCCCAGCTGTCCACTGTATCCTGTGCTTCCCTCCAGATATTGACGTCTTCATGATCCAGTCGATCACCAGGAGAAAGGGTGAGGGTAAGCAACCCTGCCTAGCACTGCTCTTTACCTCGAATGAGTCGGTGAGTTGTCCTCCGTGGACGATTTGGCAGTTTAGTCCATCATAGGAGTTCCGTATGATATTGACTATCTTCTCAGGCACGCCGTAGTGTCGAAGAAGCCTCCATAGTGTCGTCCAGTCCACATAATCAAGTGCTTTCTCGTAGTCGATGAAGTTGATGTAGAGTGATCAATTTCATTCAATTGATTGTTCCACAATGATCCGTAGTGTTGTGATTTGGTCCGTACGCGTTCGATCCTCACGGAATCCAGCCTGTTGGTCTCGAAGTTTGGCGTCTACGGAGTCCTTCATTCTATTTAACAATACATTGTTGAAGACTTTTCCTGGTTGAAATCATGAGTCAATTGAAGTTAGACAACCAAAGAAAACTTGGGAGCATTGGATGGCCGTTTTGTTCTAGTGTGGAACTCCTCAGCAGTGCGCATCCACGGTCCCACCTTGTGACATTCGAACCTAGGACCTGTCAGTCTCACGCGTGAAAGCCTAATCTCTAGACCATCGAGTCTAACTTCAACTAATCCACGAGATTGAGAGACACATCCACCATTGTCTTCAGTGGGTTACTATATTACAACAGACCTGGTTGAACTCCACTAGTCACTGCGGGTGTTCACTACTGAGGAGTGGCACAACAGGGCGAAACGACCGTCCAATACTGCTAGGTTTTCCATAGTGGCCTAAATTCAATTAACTAATGATATAAACTATTAAAAATAAAAATAAAACTGTGACTGATGAGCTACTAAAAAGCCTCATTTGAATGGTGATCTGTTCTCTACTGAACGGTGTATTTACAATGATCGAAGGTTGTATCATGATAAAGTACTAGATAATTCTAGTTAAGATGATTAGTTCATGTTTTCTCTAACTTGGTGCAATATTTCACGAGATCCGTTAGATTCCCATTGTGATATTTTGATGTTGGTTTTATTCACAGGGAAACATTTTAGTCAATAGGATCTTGATTTTATATTCTTCAGTGTCATATTTGTACCAATCAAGGGTGAATTTTATTTAATATGACAAATGTGAACTTTCACCCAGTGTGACAATTATGTTTTCCTTATTATTCTGTATGAACTTCATTTGTATTTGAAATTAACCTTAAATATCTTCTTATTTATATAATGCTTATTAAATAGTCATCAAGTGTAAAATCAATATAATATGAGTGTCTTAGGTTTATCAATGACTACTACTTGTGTTGGTGATTGAGATTTTAGAGATTTAATAGATCTTCATTTGTTTTCATAAGTTTGCATTTCGCGTTGTTGGAGTTACCATGTAAATGCGGTAGGACTACAGTTATAATGATACTAGTATGAATATGTATTATTTGTTGCGAGTACAACCAATTACTAGTCCTTATGTAATTGAACAAGGACTGATAACACTCCATGTAAAGAAGAAAAGATAGTAAACAATGATTTATTAAATACCACAAAACAAATCCATAAGAGTTGAAAGCGTGAGTTAATTGAAGCTAGACCACCATCAAAAACCTGGAAGCACTAGACGACCGTTTCGTCTTATTGTGGGACTCCTCAGTAGTGCGCATCCACGATCCCGCACTCGCGAGATTCGAACCCAGGACCTACTTGTCTCGCACCAGAGCACCCTTCTGATAATAAGAAATCCATAAGAGATGGAATTACTGTTTTAACAAATATATTAAAATACACTGAGCTATTTATCATTTACTCATGTAATCAGTAGTCAAATTTAAACACCCTAAAATGAACAATAGTTAATACTAGTTAATCAATGACCTGATGTATTCATATAATTTTCAACATCAGTAGTCTAACACATAACCGAACCATAGAGTTGTGTATTATGTTAATTGTTTACACCAAATTCGAAGCATTCCTTTTTATTGATTGCATATATATCATCTACTGTTCTAATAAGTTTGCAAACGTCCATCAGTCGTAAACAAAGTTAAATCTTCAATCAATGTTCATTGGCTATACTTCACGTTAACATATACTAGACGACTGTTATTCAGTTATTTTCAATCAGGTTGACAAATGCGAAATGACGTTCGGTATACTCTTCAAGTACTCATTTTATTGTTAGTAAACAGAATTAAAAGTTTATGATCATCTAGAGGCCTGTTATTTCACAAATAAATGCAGAAATAATCGGTTAACTTCATTTATTACAAGTTATGTCACGAATGAGTGACTTTTTTGCAACTGCACTTCAGACTTAGAGGGATTCAGTTTCTATTAAATAGGTTGGTGGCAAACATATCTTTATTGATGAATGCTTGGCAACATGTTAGAAACAGTAAGATGTCCATTTTAAAAGTTAGGTCGAACAACGGAGGTAGTGACCGTTAAAATATACAATATATAAAGACGTGTATGTAGCCGATGAAGAAAACTTTTTGATTTAACTGACAAAAAATTTAATATCATAATAATGAATCAATTTAAACCTCAATTGAAATATAATACATTGAGGAAATCACCAAACTGCGTCATGAGACAATCCCTAACTTGGAATCCGGAAGGGAAGCGGAAAAGAGGAAAGCAAAAGAATACATTACGCTTGGAAATGGAAGAAGATATGAAAAGGATGAATGTTAACTGGAAAGAGCTGGAAAGGATTGGATAGGACAGAGTTGGATGAAGAAAACTGGTGTGCGGCTTGTGCTCCTCGACGCGGGGTAACAGGAGTAAGCAAGTATACCAAAACATTAGTTCACATTATCAGTGTACCTCAATATTCATAAATAAATCGGAAGGAAGGAAGGACAAGGAGGAAGAAATAGATAATAAATAGGGAAAAGACAAATTGATAAAAGGTATGTAAATGTTAAAAAATTATGATAAAAGTTGAAATTTTGACATACTGACTCAATCAGTAAAATAGAGTCACGTTTATGGACATAGTTAAACACCAATTTTCATGTTGTTCTAAACAGTCGAAGATTTTTTCCCATTGCTTTAATAGATGAAGAGTAATTTATTTTTGACGTCTTTCTCCTTAGACTAGACGTTATGACGATTATCAGAAGGGGTTTTTGTGGAGATTTAGTATTTTTCATAGTTATGACGATTATTACCTTGGTTCACGAGCTCATCCGGGGGCTACTGCCGGTCCCAAGCCCGGATAAAGGAGGAGGGTTGGACATGGGGTTAGCGACCCCATCCCGTAGAAAACCAACTCGCTAAAAAACGCTAACCAGAAAAAAATATTCAAACCATTTAAACTCTACCCTGGGAGTTGAAGGAACAATTATGACGTCTCATGATAGAAGCCGCGTTCTTTCGGAAGTCATGAGGCCGATGCACCATCTAATACCCAGAGCAACAACTTTTATAGGTACACTTTGGTAGGTACTATTCAGTGATCCAAATTTATTGAATTTTCTGTGATTATAGTTTACAATTCACTGTTAGTTAACTATATATAAATCAGTTTTGTAACCATATGGTTTTTTTTGTTGTACTTTGATATATCTAAAATTTATAAGTAAACTGATATTAGAAATGTAAATTAGTATACATCAGCTCAATAGTCTAAAGGTAACGTGGCAGATTTCAAAAGTCGTTGCTCTCACTCCTGGTGAAGTAATGAATGCTTACAACGAAGCGTGATAAGAAAGATACAATCTCACGTCTATTAATGCTTACTTACGTCTGTTACCCCTCGTGGAGGAGCATGGGCCGCACACCAGCATTCGCCATCCAACTCAGTGCTGGGCAGTCTTTTCCAGTACATTACAGTTAACATTCATCCTTTTCATATCTGCTTCTATTTCTCGGCATGATGTGTTCTTTGGCCTCCCACTTTTCCGCTTCCCTTCACCATTCCAAGTTAGGGATTGCCTCATGATGCAGTTTGGTGATTTCCTCAACGAATGTTCTATCCATTTCCAACGTCTTTTCCTAATTTTCTCTTATTCTGGAAGCTGGTTTGACCTCTCCTATGGTAGGCTGTTGCTGATAGTATCCGGCCAGTGAATGTTGAGTATTTTGCGTAAACAACTGTTTATAAATACTTGTACCTTCTTGACGATGGATGTAGTAGTTCTCCGCGTTTCAGCTCCATACAGTAGAATTGACTGTCTTGACGTTCGTATTGAAGATTGTGACTTTGAAATAAGTTGAGAGTTTTTTGAGTTCTATATATTCTTCAATTGTAGAAATGCTTCCTTTGCTTTGCCAATCCTCCCCTTTACATCTGCATCAGATCCTTCTTGTTTATCAATGATGCTTTCCAGATACGTGAATGTTTCCACCTCTTACATAGTTTCACCATCAAGTGTGATTGAGTTGGTGTTCTCCGTGTTGTATTTGAGAATCTTAACGTCTAATAATAAATAATAAATAAATTTTAAGAATTCGATGGTAATTACCGCCATTGATTAGATGTCGAGGTATTGCACTGTTTTAGTTTATGGGAACTTTCACTTTCAAGATATTTCTAACAACGTAATAAGTTAATTATATTGTTAAAGTATAATCATATGTGAACAAAATGAATTACTTCGTTAAATAATTTCACTCAATCTTTGAAACTCACCTAGTTACAATTGCATAATTAGGTGGATCAACACATACACCCATAAATAAAGCAATATTTTCATGTCTAGTCATCATAAGTCGTGTAACATCCTGCCAAAATCGTTTTCTTTCTATAAGGCTCAAATCTTCAAAAATATGTACATCAACTTCACCATGCCATTGACCTCTGGAAAAAAAAGATAAGAATGTTAACATTTCTAAATCTTTTCATCAACTATGGTATATTCATTCTAAATTCCCAAATCAACTTAATTTTAAGATTTTGAAATAGTACTGATACTGAATATAAACGAGCGTTTACTAAATTATATTTACTGAATGGTAACATTCACGTTATATTTGTAGAAAACCATTGATTCCATTGATCACTCAAGGAAGTTGTATACCAATTACTTGTTCGTTCATGTTCTGTATGACCGAGAGATTGTCTGGATTTTACTGTTTCCCATATCGTGCACTATCGCATACCAACTTTATCTCACTTTTCATATTTGCGAAAAGTATTAGAGAGAATGATTGTTTTTACTAAATTAATTATTGGGTTCCTCAGTTATATTGTGGTACGTGCTACTTCTATCAACATTAGTGGTAAATATCATAAGTCAGGAATAGAATGTCTTGTAGCAGAAGGTCGAGAAGGAAAGAATGGGAACAGAAAGCCATTGGTATGGATATAAAGGAATAATGAAATATGGGACGATTGATTTACATTTGCAGAGGAACAGTCAAGTTTGAGACACTTCTTTAATTCACCTAAGTAACTAAATTGAATAGCTGATTTATGTACAGTGATGATAATGTCAATCCTAAAAACGCATGGAATAAATGATAACTATTCGGTTTAGGCTATTTCAATATGATGTAGTTAAGTGATGTTTAATAAAGTTTAAAAACTTAACTAACTATATGCAACAATAGTAATTGAGTTGTCTGAATAACGTGAAATATTTCATTGATTGTTGATGCATTGTAAACGCTAACAGCAAAATACGGTAGTTCAATTTTGAGTAGATAAAAAAGATTTGTAACTTAGATGGATGATTTAAATGGAGTTTTGTTGTCTGAGCTGGATGGTTTGGTTTTTGAGCTTCCATTGTTCTTCTGAACAACATCATCAATATAAAATTCACTCTGAGAACAAAACTCCACTTAATCAGTAATTGAATGTTAGAGTTAAAATAAAGCTTTCTTTTTTGAGAAAATGAAATATCTTCGTATTATTAATGATCTGCTTTTATTTTCTGATCCTTGAAAGTGATCGTCCTGTTTTACACGTAGATTTCGTTACAAATTTATTAATTTGTTAACCTTAACAATGATTACCTATTTCATCTTTATTTTGTCTATCGGAATTTTCTACAATTTGTCTTTTTATCAGAAGGGTTTTTTGGGGGATTTCAGTAATTTTATAGTTGAAATCATGAGTTAATTGTAGTTAGACGACCATGGAAATTCTGGAAGCATTGAACAGCCGTTTCGTCCTATTGTAGGAACTCCTCGGCAGTGCGCATCGACGATCTCGCCTTGCGAGATTCTGAATTGGCGTATCTTGTTCATTCGATTTCATTGTAAAAAGAGAAATTTATGACTCATCATTAGTACGTTGCCTTCAAAGTTTGTGAACATCAGCATAGTTATTCGCTTCAGGAGTGTAAAACATCAGATCTCAATTTCATCCTATTTGTTGATGTCAGCGTAAGTTTCATTTATATAAGAAATAATTGTCAAATTAAAGGTGAGGTACTCTGTCGTTAAAAATAGCTCACATTACATTTTCGACAGAATGTAATTAATGACTTACTTATAAATCGCTTTACGTTCACCTTTTTCTAAACATCTAAGTAATTTTATATCATTAAATGGGATATTGAATTCACAGTCCGATGGTCTAATGATAGAGAAAAAGAAAAATTTAATACTTTTCATAAATTTTATTTTAAAAACACAATCTATAGGTTATATTCAATAGGAGTTAATTTCAGCTGGTGTATCATTTTTTTGGAGTGATCCTGAAAATTTCTCAAAATAGATATGACAAGCTCAGAAAATATGAAGAAGCATTTTATTCAATCAACGTTTGACCAGAAGTTTTGCTAGAAACATCGCAAAAGTGAAAAGTCACATGTAGGGTTTTTGATTGGTTGATTAATACAGTGCTACTATGTTTAGTAGCATTCCAGAATTGCAGGAAAAACCAAGGACTTCTAAAATACTATAAAAACCCTATGTTTCCTGTACATGAATGAAACTTTGGAATAAGGTGCTTCACGCATATTTTGCGCCCTTTCTCTCATGTTCAAGTAGCTGTGTAGTTCTAGCTTGGGGATTACGAGACTAGCTAGGATCCGAGTATAGCTTTCAATCAGCAAAACTTATCACATTTTGAACTGAAGGCCATTGAATACCATTTTACGTTTTAGTATGAGACTTGTAAATGGAAGTCGCCTGGCAACCAGAAACTCCTGGATCCCATAATAAGCAATTTTATTAATCGATTTCTGACTTTTAATGGTATTCGAACTGAGATCAGCTTCAGAGAAGTATCATCAACAGAATAAAATAATCTCCATAGAGCCTTTCTATCGAAAATATTTTTTACTTATTTGAAGTTAAATGTTGATCATTAAATGAAGAATTTCCTTCTGAGCACACTTAATTGAATTGGTATTCAATAAAAAATGATCATTAAAACGAAAAATGAATTATTTAATGTATGGTTTTCATATTTTAGTAAAACATTCTGTATTTTCTTGTTTCCATGGGTTCTCGTTCACTGCACAGTTAAGAAGCGCTAGGCAACTTCTTCATTAAAGTGTAGAGCATATAAGATCCCTGTGCCCTCAAAACCTACAGTGGTAGAACTCAAGATCTACCGAGCTCACTATAAATACGCCACCTTATAAAGGATATATTGGATTAAAATAAAGACAATTCAGCAGTGAAAATTTTCTTCTTGACTACATCATTTACTTAAGCTGTACATTCGTATTTATAATTGCACGATATATATATATATATATATATATATATATATGGCTAGCAGTGGAATCCAGGACACACGTTCTATCCTGTTTGGAACTCTTCAACTGTATGCTCCTAAACATCAATGAGAAGATTGAAGCAGACAATACAAAATGAATTTGAATTTTTTGTTCTATTGATCACATTCACATATGACCAATAATCTGAGTGATTGAACATTGTAGTGTGTCGTATTTAATGGTAGTCAGTTACAGTCTGTTAACATGTAATCATAGACATTTTGTGAAATTTAACACTTGTCCAAAAACATATCTTCATTATATAATGAAAAGCTACTCATTACTTATCCCCCATATATTTAAATAAAAATAGCAGTAAAAATATGAAAGGCAAGTAGCTACCTTCCAGTGCCGCATGTGCTGAATTCATCTTCACTTTCCAAATTACTTGATCTTTCACATTTGGCTGAAAAGAAAAAACAATTTTTGGGAAAAGAAAACAACTGACTGTGTACATCTCAATTTTCTTTGGAATAATTTTAACTATTCTTTAACACAAATAAAAACTTGGTTTTGAAAACATAAGAATTGAATTGTTCTTGTACAAGGATTCATATGATCAAATCGTTAATAGTAATGACTGTAATCGGTCATTTATTATCGAGGTATATGCTTTCAGACAGGATTGCCTTGATAAGTAAGTCATCAGGTTATTTGCATTGTGGTTAACAGTAAAATGAATACTTACCAACAGAGGCTGATCTACTGAAGTCCTTCATTTCAATAGCAAGAATTTGCGAACTCTTACCTATTGAACTAGCTAGTGAATCACTAGTTTGGCGAAAAAAACTCTGGGATAATTGGATAAAAGTATAAAGGCAAACCAATCAGGTATCAAACCACAAACTTACAAAGAAATAATCTGCAACACGAGATCATTTATTAAGACTTTAGTAAGAATATTAAGCTAATTAGGGGTTATGATTTGTCTATGCAAAGACAGTTAAGACAGTATGAGTGCGCAGAAAAACTATGTCGAATGTGAACACTGGTGAAGGAATTCATTTTAACAACTTCATTGCTAATTTACAATATAAGTTTTTTACTTCGGATCTCAGGGATGTCTATCAAATCTACATAATTTTCAGATCACATTATAATTCGATGTATATTTAGATTTTATTTTTGTATTGTTTTTTTCTACTAGAAAATCATCACTATATAGCTTGTCCTTTGATTGTCTAAAAAGTGTCTTTGCACTGTCGAGGTCATTTCAAGTCACTCTAGTTCATCCCAACACTTTAGACTCCACCGTTAACCTTTCTAAACAATAGCTAGTGGGTTCGAATCTGATTTTCAGCATCAGTGTGGAAATGGAGCAAAATCTATCTGACGATTTCTACAAAGAACAAAACGTGCTACAGATTTCCTGTGCATAACAATAATCCGTGTATATCTAAAGAGGATACTATTCGGAATACAATAGCAGGGATTTACAATATCTGATTAGAACAATGAAGTTCTACAAATGAATAGTGTAGGATATTATGATTCTATGTTCCCTAAACTTACTGGACGTTTTGTTGCTCTGGTATATACTTATGAATACTACTTATGATATACTTATGAACTTGAAATATTGATCACGTTTTAAATGCTTGCGAATAAAGGCAATATCGAGGCACGTATGCCAATAAGACACTGACCAGCTTCAGTCCTAAACATCAATGGGAAGATTCAAACAAACAATACTAAGTGAATTTTAACTTCACCACATTGCACAAATATGTGGCTATCAGGAATCAGTAGTTGAGTAGATAATGCGATGACGTTTGAAGTGAAAGGTATTGGGTTGGAGTCTGAGAGTGAACATCAACTGTGAGATGCAGGTACATTCAGCTGACGAGTTCCAAATAGAATGAAACGTGCGTCCTGGATTCCACTGCTAGCTACTATCCATCTATGCTTATAAATAAGGTTTATGTTGGTGCCTTTTCTCATCAGTTAACCACAGATAAAATTTTAAGTATGTATCATACTCAAAAAGTACTTTATAGATTTAATATTAAAATAGCAATCTATTTTAAATAAATATTCATTCATCTTACAAGAGTTTAGATTAAAACCACGATGAACTGACCAAGAATTCGATCTTTTTTTAAGTTGATTTACATCAAATACTGATTTAGCTAAAAGAATTTGTTCTGTGATATATTTCAATTTCATACATGGATGATGATTTGGCGGTTTTAATAAAATCATATTACTACTATAAAATCGTGGACGATCACATGGTGATAATTGTGGTGATGAAAAATCTGATTCAGATTGATCATCAATATTAGATATTTCATTATGAATTATATAATTTTTATGATTAACTTTTGTAGAATATTCATATTGTTCATACATATTTCGAATAGTTGATAAGTGTTTCAATGTAAATGGTGGTGATGAACTCATCATTCGATGAACTGGTATATAATGAGGATTTAATGAAGGTGAACAATGTTTCACATAGTGATAATGAGAACTAGTAGTATGCTTCAACTTAACTGGATTATTAGTATTTGATGATTTTATATGGAATGTATTGCTTCGATAAGGTAGTTTACTGTTATCTTTAATAGTAGATTTCAATGGATTGAAATTAGACGAAATATTTGGTAATAAACTATTTTCATTATGATAATGATTACAATTTGAGTGACATGGATAAAGTTGATGATTGTTATGACAAGTTTTCGATGGATTTAATTCATGAATATGACAAAAATAACTAGAATGTGTTGTAAAACATGATATACGATCTGGTTGTCTTCGCCTGTTCTCTTTAGATTGAATTACATCTCTAGTTGTATTTGTATATTGAGCTTGTGTAGTAGGTTCAGATTGATTGAATGCTTTAACATTATCTATCGGGGGAAAAAAGAAAATGCATATGGAAAACATCAAAGTTTGGAAATGAGGCAAGCAGAACTGAATAAAAATGGCCTTAGAGTTTTTGAGCAAAATTTAAAAATGATTGACTTGGAATGGTCAGCAGTGTTACCTCTGTGTACTGATCAGAATACTTAAATTTATAAGGAAATAAAATTTTTTGTCATCGTACAGTAGAAATGATAGTAGTTGAGGTATCACGTGCTCAGCTCCACCTAAACCGAAGGTGTCAAACAATTCAATTAACCCTTTCCCCAAATACTTAATTATAACCCCAATCTAAAACCGAATTCCGAAACCTAACCTTACACATCCAATCCAAACCTTGTACATTCCCATGGATAGTGCAGGAACTCTTGTATATCTTCATAAAGGTTCAAGAAGAATTTTTTTAAATTTACGTATAGAAAAACCTACACATACCTTTATTCGATTGATATATGGTGCAAGATCTTGGAGCCTTTGGTAATCGTATTGTCCCTTCTTTACAAACTATCCATTTATGATAGCTACATTGTGATAGGGTAAACATACTCTGAGATTCGTCAAGGTTATTTTAAACCCATTCGTATACTTTCACCAGAACACCCATTTGACGACAACATACATCAAAATTGGAAGTCAGATTAAATATGTAAAAATCTCAATAACTAAATCAAAAATACGTCGATGTTTCTCTTTGCAGAATTGGTTCAACTTACTTAAGCGGAATACCCAAAATTAAGATTCTTAGCTGGTATTCATAACAGATTTTGGGCGGAATACCACTGAAAACCACGGGGATACAAAATAGCTCTTTAATCATATTATTGAACGTTTCGGCAATGTGCACACATAACGGATGGAGAAGTCGAGTTCAGGAGGAATAGCACCTACAAAATGGTCTCATTTCCACAGAATGATTTCATCAAAAATGATCATAAGCTAATCAATATCACAATAACAACCGTACACTAAATAGTTATTCGAACATGCTCAGACAGTGAGTTTATCGTGGTGTTTTTTTCGTTAACAATTTGAATCGTTCAGAATGAATTATGTTCAACTTATGGTAAATGGAAATATCTCGGTAATTCGTATCCGACTACACTGTATATTTGTATGAATATAGGTTATAGTAAAAATCACTTCAGTTTCACTGATAGATAGGAATAAGATGAAATAATCAGAATATGTATAGATTACAAAACGAATAACCAAATAATTGTATTTTATACAATGCGATCCCTTTATATACTTAAACAGAGCAAAAACAATATGGTTTGCTGAATAAGATGAATTCATTCTATTATACGGTTTCTCATCAGCGGCATATAACCGAAAATTAAGATTATAATTACTAACAATTGTTTGGCATACCTTGGTTTATGAAGTTTAGATAAATATTCGAAACGTAACCAGAATCATAATGATTATAACAGTAGCGACACAAAGTGTATGAATTAACATAGTCAGGATCAATGTGTATTTAAATGTTGGGAAGTAATAAATAAGAGGATTATGTAAGGGTAATCAAATTAATAATTGATTGTATTACCGCTCAACATGATAAAATAAACAAATATGTGAACATAAATAAGATTGGAAAGGGTTTTGTCAGGATTTCAGTATTTTCATAGATGAAATCACGAGTCAATTGAATCTAGACCACTATGGAAAACCTGGGAGCACTGGACGGCCATTTCGACTTATTATGGGACTCATCCACAATCCCGCACTCGCGAGACTCGAACCCAGGACCTACCAGTCTCACGCCAGAGCATTTAACCGATAGATCACTGAGGCGGCATCCAATGGTGTTAATGTCTAACTACAACCAATCCACGAAGTATGAGCAACCGTTCACCAATTGTCTTCAATGAGTTGATATCTCAACAACAGACGTGGTTGAACTCCACTGGTCACTGCTTCCCACTAGAATTCCAAGAAATATCTCTTGAAGGCAGCCACTGCTGAGGAGTCTTACAATAGGACGAAACAGCTATGCAATGCTTCCAGGTTTTCCACGGTCGTCTAGCTTCAACTGATTCATGAGTTCAACTATGAAAATAAATAAGATTATTTAAGAGATAAGTATTGGAAAACAAAACAATTAATAATAAAAGGTTGGTGACAGGGTTGAAAAACAGATTAAAATTAACATTAATTTTCCTAAGCCTGTAAATAAAAGAGTTACACATCGTCACTGCTCTATGGATAATGCCATTCGATGACAAAAACTCTGTGTCATTCTAACTCTAACTCACAACATTAGCCCAATTCCTCATATGTAATTGATCGTATAGACATTATTACTCCATCTTAATTTGCTGCTATTTTGTTGTTTAATAACTAGACAGTGTTTCATAATTGGTTAATAAGTCTCTCAAGGTCATCAATGTAGTATAAAAATATTAAAATGATGTAACAGAAATGTACTACTAAAACAAATAAAAGTAGGACTAACTATAAATAAGGAATTCTTTCATACGTTTGTTCGGAACAAAACAAATGATACAGTATAATATTATTTGATTTATTTCATTAGTTCGCAGCGAATATTTTCAGCTTAGAGCAAGTAAGTAGAGTATGGCAATGACATAGGTTTATTAGAACTAGTAGGATTTCTTTCAAGATTTTTATTCCAGTGTGATTCTACAATGGGAACCGAGAAGCGGTTAAGATTTTTGTTCTTAATCGTTTGATCGCTTTCTTCATTTTCATATCTTTTAAAATTTAAAGGATTTAGCTATCCATGAAACAATGCCGGAACTGTGTGTACAAAAGAAGTATATCTTTCCCATACCTTTACATTAAATTTTAACTATTTTTAGCAAAGTTTTGTTCTCTGAACTGGATGGTTTGGTCATGGAGCTTTTATCGTTTTCATTTATAACAATCTACTCAGTGGTTCATTTATTTGAAATTATCAAGTCAAACCTTGGTAATGACGCTTACAAACTTATGAATAGAACATAGTTTCCAACATTATTCTGAAACTGATTTTACATGTATTGACATTATCAATGCTTGATAATTGTAAGAAATTCTTTATAGATCGATGTTAGAGATGTAAGCGGTTATTAGCCAACTGAATGGTTTGGATATTGAGCTCTCACCTCTAAGCATAAACTATCCGCGTTCGATTGATGTTCGGGCCACGGATGAACTTTGTTTAAAATTTTCATGCTAGGTTAAAGCAGGCTTCGAGTACCAATTATTTTTCGATTGCTCTTTGACTGAAGTCAGTCCACGATGTAAAATTACAATCGCTTTTAAGTTGTGGATAACAATTAAGTCATGATAGAGTTATTTAAGTCACCGATATAAACAAGTTGTTTACATGTTCTCATTACTGTTCTGATTAATATAAAATTAATATGAAAACATACTTTATTCATTATTTAATAGTGTGGTGTGGGTTACTTATATCCACATAAGTAGTATGTGGTGGTGATCAGGCATAGAATGTATTTCCTAACTTAAAACCTAAATTCACCTAGTATTTTTTATCTGATTCTTCACACTGATGTTCAGGACTAGAACTGATCAGTCTGTTATTGACCATATCTGCATACTGTGCGTATTGCCTCAATATAGCCTTAGTTCACAAGCATTATAAGCAATGATGGATAGTGGTTAGCAGTGGAATCCAGGACACGCGATTCGTTCTATTTGGGACTCTTCAGCTGGATTAACCTGTATCTCAGAGTTGATATTCATTCTGGGACTCCAACTCAGTATCTTTCACTTCAAACGTCATCGCGTTATCTACTCAACTACTGATTCCTGATAGCCACTTATTTGTGCAATGTGGTGAAGTTAAAATTCATTTAGTATTGTTTGTTTGATTCTTCCCATTGATGTTTGGGAGACAAACCATTTGCAGTCCTGAACCTCAACGGAAAGATTCAAACAAACTATACTAAGTAAATTTATACATTTTGTTCATATTTCGTGTAAGATGAATTAGTAATGGATAAAAATTTTTTATAATAAACTAAATCTCATATGACATTGATTCGATAATCTTTAAATCTTAAATCGTACCACGTAGAACGCACTGAGTTACATCTTTCAAACAAAAGGAAAATGTCGATAATGTAATAAGATCAGAACTATGTGATGAGATATTAGCGCAATACTATTCGAACAATCTGATCACACATATACTTCTTAAGAACATTTATATATAAAAATAAAAGGTCAACTACACTGAAAACAGGGGGGGGCGGTAAGAATAGAATAGGATAATGTGAAAACAATTTGAAATCTAATCACTCTAGATAATAAGCTAATATTACCGGGGTAGGTTTAAGGTGAGAACAAACTGTTTTTGAATACACAAAGGGGGTTTGAATTTTCGTATGGCTAATGCTTCAATAAATCCTCAGTATACACACTTTTACACTTTTATACACCACAAAATCCGAGTTAAGATCAATCTTATGACCTGTTTCGATTATATGTTTGGCAATAGAGGATGATGGATTTTTATCCTCTACTCTCATTGGGTCATTGGATTCTATTTGTTTTCTGATAATCTTATTATTATCATTACATTACCGAAATTTATCAAAGAGACTAATTGCTTTTAAAAGGAAAACGAATCATATATCTATAATCTTTAAACTAATTCATTTTAAGTATTTCCACTGTACCCATTCTTGTTTAACTTTGTCGTTGACATGCTTTTAGAGATAACACTTTCATCATCTCAATCTCCAGGAGTTGAACTTTTACCGTCTAGCAATCAAAGGACAGGTTTACTGTGTAGCAGTTCGTTCCGTCCTACTTTATGGCAGTGAAGCATGGCCGATAAGAGTAGAGAACACTCGTAGGCTACTAGTATTCGATCATAGATGTCTTGAAAACATTGCTCGTATATCCCGGGACCATCGAATAAGTAATGCAGTTGTTAGGAAACGGGTACTAAGTAGGGATGGCAAATCGATTGATGAAGTAGTGAAACTTCATCAGTTGAGATGGCTGGGAG